TCTGCAATAGAGAAAAGAGTGATTTCTGGAGATGGCAGCCTTCCCCAACCTGGTTTCCTCTAGATGGGTTAATGTACAACTCACCCATAGAGAGGGTGCTATAATGCACCTAGGACTAAGGATTGCATTCTGCCCACAATCTGGGGCACCAGGGTGAGGAAGACTGGACTTTTTGGTACTACTTCCATTGAGTGGGAAATCAAGGCAATCTGTGCTGGATCCAGGCACGTGCAAGTCCCCCCCACACACACACACACCATGAACCCTATCTTTTAAGAATACAGGAAAGGGCTTTATATTGAGTTAGGCCCTTGGTCTGTCTAGCCAAGTATTATCCAGCTTGGTCTGGCCACATCTCCGAGCAAGGCGTCTTTCTTAGGCCAAGCTGGAGACTGATTCCAAGCCTATCCAGATGCAAAGCGTGTGCTCTGCTACTCCGGGGTGGCCCTTGCCTTGCCTCATCAGTGTGTATGAGTGAGAGAGGAAGGATTGCAGTCCAACATCTGGAGAGCCTCCTGCTCCCAACCTCTGCTGCAGAGTAGCCCATTCCTCTCAGGTGTGTTGGCCTACCCCACCGTTCTCCGCACGACAGGGGATGGTGAGTGTTTCGTGTTTCGGCTGAAGATGTTGGAAGTGTGCCAGGTCGGGGATGGCTCTGTTCTGAATACTCCCTCCCACAACCAGGTTGACTGTACCTCCTGGAAGGTGAAGGATGATGAGGCCAAGTGCGTGTTTTACCACAGGTGATTCCATGATTGTGGCCATGTCTTCTGTCCCCACTACCTCCACTTCTTGAAGGCCAGAAGGATACAGGATAGAGCACATCCTCAGCCTTTGCTCAGATGGCCTGAGGAATCGCATGTGAGAACTCAGTTGTACTTGACTGGCCCTGCTTTTTAGATTTAGAGGAAAGCTGCTTAAGATTTTTGGGAGCTAGGATGAAAAATTAACATGCAGGTTACGTTTAGCTGCAGCATCAATTCCTCCAAGAGACTGTATTGGCAAAAAAAGTCAAGGCATGGAATTCATTCTCCACTTTCCAGAATCCTGTCACGTTAATGCACATGAACACTTCTTTGGCCAGACTCCCACTCCCCCACCTTTTAATTTTTCTATAATGTTGGCTTTAAGCATGTAGAAAAGATTGTGCTCCTTTGTGCAGTCTTAACAGACTGTTTTTCATAGTATCTTTAAAACTTTTATTCCTAATTTTTCCTCCAACAGATTTCCTTCAGTTTTTCCCCCTTTCAGGAGGCAATGCCTAAACAGACAACGACTGATCTTAACACAGTAGCTAAATCAGCCTTCCTCAAGCCAGCACCCTTCAGAAGATTCAACCTACAACTCCTATAATGCACCATCAAGGCTCATACGGATTCCTGCTATCTGTATTTTTGCTGAAACATGCCCTATCTGGAAAACTCTGAAAAGGATCACTGTATGTCTGAATTGACTTGGTGGCACAGAATTATTATTATAAAGGTTTGGGGGCCAGAACAGAATTTTGCCCACATACCACAATTATGCATATTAGTTAGCAAAATAAGCACTTGGAGAAGTTACTTTTCTTGAATAACAACATGGCCGTGTTGGGTTGGGGATTTCTGGAAGCAAAACTGAAAAAATAACATTTCCAAGCTGAGAACTAGCCTGGATGTTTTCAGCCTACTGTTTTCATACAGTTTTGAAAAACAAATTGACTGGTAGAAGTCTGGTACGGTATCATCAGTGTATTGTGGGATCTGTGTCGGTGTGTGTAAACAAAGTTGTAGGGCAGCAAGAATCTGCATAAAGTTAGAATAAATACAGGAATGGGATTATTGAGAAGCAGATCTAACAAAGCAGTAATGCATGCTTTTTTTTTCTTAAAAAAAAGCAACTCTTAGTTGGATTGCTATTTACTTCATGCAATGAACTAGTCTTCATCCAGATGTCTATTTAGTTCTGCATGGCTGTGTTTACACAGATTGCTAAACCAGAAATCTTAAGGATCCTGGCTTCAAACTGGTTCACTTTGCTTTATGTCTTCTGTCACCAAGCATTTGATAGTTTCTCCAGTCATGAGCAACTAAAACAGAGGTGGGCAAAATATGGTCCTCCAGATATGGCAGGATTCTAGCTCCTATCAGCCTTCATCAAAATATCCAGTAAAAAGAATAGGGATGTTGTGGTAGTGTAGCAACTTCTGGAGGGTTGCCATTTCTACATCCCTGAAATGAATTACTCAGGAGCTTATCAGGGTGGAAAAGCTTAGCATCCTGGTCTCCAGTTTGTTTAACAAACCTGGATTGAGATGCAGCTATCAGCCCCAGAACCTCTGGAGAAACAATAAGCCAGAGGTTCTGGTATCGGTATGACCATATACTGTACATCTGTCCATTCTCTCAGTCTTCCTACTGGATGGCTGCAATTTCCATTGCCCCCAATCAACATGAGCAGTGATGATGAATGATGGGAGTTGTAGGCTGAAGCATCTGAAGAGTGCCAGCTACAGATGGGATATTCATATTCGTATCCTGAGGAATTTGAATATCAGCAGGACAGGTGCCTGGGGAAACTGGACCCTCCCCCAGAACTGGACAGTCCACTTACCACTCACTGTGTGAAATATGTGGCCAGCATTGTTCTCATCGTGCTAGTCACGGAAGTGGCCCAGCTGGGTCTTCCCTGCCTCCCTGCACTGCCGGCCACTCTGTTGAGGAAGTAGGATGACAAGTCAGTTTCCTTGCTCAGCTGCAGAGTGGTCAGCTGGGCAGGAAGGTGAGGAAGCACCAGCTGGGCTGCTTCTGCAGTTGGTGCGACAGGAACTATGCAGGCAGTGTGAACCGCATGGCAAGTGGTAAGTGGCCCAGCCAGTTCTAGGGGGAGGGTCTGGTTTTCCCAGGCACCTCTGGTGGCTATATTTGTATTAGTCTCTAGCGCTGGCTTGAGGAAGGTTGGTTTAGCCATTTCTTCTTGCAGGAGGTGTTAATATCAGACTTTCTTCATTAGGGCACTCACTCATGAAAGGTAAGCTTGTATTCTAGAGAATTTTAGCTGAACATTTTATGCAGCAGTTGCTGTGGTGGGTATGCAATGATGCCTGATGGATTGGCAGTTGGAAAGTGGGAACTGACTTCTAGGGAATACAAAACACTTTCAGATAACTTATTTTAAGCCACAATGGAAAAAAAAGCACATCATAATCATCCACAGGAACAAAAGTCCTGTCTTATAATATTGTTTTGTCTGCCACTGTTGTTATAATAATCACTTAATAGATGCTATCTAAAAGTGGAAGCCGATAAAACTAAGAAACCAAAATAAAAAGCTTAGGGAAATTTTAGAAACACCTGTAATATTCCTGAGTATGTTGTCCCAAGGCAAGTGTTCAGCATTTGCAGCACCAGCTCTGCTGAGGCCCAGGATCCCTGTCTGCCATTCATCTGATAACAATGAACTGGGGACATCCTGTTTGCAGAGACTTCAATGGACTTGGGTTGGTAAGCTAGCTGCAGCTCTTAAAGTATCCTTCTCCAGGACCAAATGCACCTTTGGAAATTCTTCCTGGTGTTTTATCTGTGATGGCTCATTCAGAGTTTCAAAAATCTATTGTTTGTTTGTTTTACTACAGCTAACCAAATATTCCATTCAGAATATGCCATGTTTGTTAGTAAAGGGCTTCTGGGAGATGTAGTTAATCTATTGTTTGTTTGTTTTACTACAGCTTACTGAGTCTTCCATTCAGAATATGCCATCTTTGTAAAGGGCTTCTGGGAGATGTAGTCCACAGGGTAATTTCCCCAAGTTTTGAGCTAATTCCCATGTCCAGAAATGATGGTGTGGCCTCCTTCCCAGGAACTTCAAGATGAAATGTCTGGTCTCTTCCTGAGAGAGGAAGTGATTGCTCCAAACTCACTCTTCTAAGTCTGTGAAGATTCTCAGTCATCCAGGTGTGGTTATCTGGAAGCTGAGTCATGGCAACTGGACTTCTTTCTTGTTAGGTTGAAATGTTTTGCTACTCATCCAAGCAGCTTCCTCAGTCACCCTTATAAGCTTCATGGCAGAGGGAAGTTGAGTGATCATTCTAGTGCAGATGCATCCATGTCATCTTGTACTATGCTACGGGTCTGTGATGGTTTATTGGGGCTGGTGTTAATAACCAGTGGTTTAATCTGGCATGAGGCTGCCCTTAATTCCTACTGTGGTGTCATCTAAGTTGAACTTCCCCTTACGTCCTAGCTGTGATGCCATGCCTAGCATCCATGTCTCCAAGGGAGCTGCAGTAGTTGAGACCCTGGGAGAATAAGCAACCAGGTTTATGGACAGTGATTATGTAACAAGGACGTCTAAGGCAGATTTGCCATTTGGGATGGGACAATTCAGATGGAATACCCTTGGCTGTAACGGGGATAATTGTTGGAATCCTGTTGGTTTTTTATGCTGGTGTAAGTGCAGTGATGTAAATTGTCATGAGTTAGCAAGTCACTGCTTGTATTTCACCTTGTGCACCAAATCTTTCCACTGGCCTGTGATGAGAAATGAAAGTGACGAATTTGTTAACAAGCAGCAATTTGCTCCTGCAGTTTGCAAGATTGCGTTTGCACCAGCCTAAATAACCAATATGATTTTGGTTGGTACGTCAGAGGCTCTGTCCTATGTACCTGACAACATGTCTGTGGCTTGTTGCTGGCCCGTTTGGGGCCATTTCCAGTCATTTCCTGTGCAGGCTGACAAGTAAGAGCAGGTTTCTCACTTAGCAAACAGTTGAGCAGCATGTTGCTTGTGCAGTATTGATACTACCTTTCTTATTATTCCAAATGAAAGGAGTTTGTTTGCCTTCCTGCTAAGTAAGAGCTGAACGTTCAGGCCAAGAGGCTCCTGACTTGAGAGGAGAAGTGGAGTGGGAGGCCAGGGCTGTATGCCTGCCTGCATTGCCAAGGGAGAAGAGGAAGGACTTTTTGTTCGGCAGGCGGGATGTGCCCACTTAATCCTGACTTGTGTTCCTCCATCACTTTCAGACAGCAAAGCTATTGTCGATGGCAACCTGAAGCTGATCCTGGGCCTGATCTGGACGCTGATCTTGCACTACTCCATCTCAATGCCCATGTGGGATGAGGAAGATGATGAAGAGGCCAAGAAGCAAACTCCCAAACAGCGACTGCTGGGCTGGATTCAAAATAAATTGCCGGAGTTGCCGATCACAAACTTCAGCAAGGACTGGCAGAGCGGCCGGGCGCTTGGGGCCCTCGTCGACAGCTGCGCCCCAGGTAGAGACAGACCCATCGTCTTGTTTTATAAGCTGGGAAAGCTTTATGTCCATCATAACAAGGCTAGTTCCTCTTCGGAGCCTCACTAACTCAGTGGTTGAAGAAAATCCCCACCAGCAGGATGGCCACTTTTTGGAAGCTGTACCCATTTCCAGGCTCTGCTTTGCTGGGCTTTGTTTAGAGCCCAGAGTTTGTATTTGTTGAGTCTCATCTGCCTACCTGTCCCAGATCTACCCGCTCAGGTGCAAAGGGCTTGGAAACAAAGATCAAGGTGGCTGTGAGGGCCATATGGATTTATCTCTTGTTCAAACTGGGCTGAGCTCACCCTGCTTTCACATATAAGCTTCCCCATTTAGACAGGGAAAGTGAATTTATTTCTGTGAAACCTTTGGGAATCAGAACTCTTGCTGATTTACTGTGATGACGGATTCATCAACCTTTGGATCCTTATCTACATTTTTGTACCTCCCTCATGTAAAGTCACCCACTGTGAAATTAGGGAGAAAGTGGAGTGGCAAGCGTTTAAATGAGCTTGAGGATTAAGTGGGAGAGAAAGCTTTGTGGAGGGAAGAGAGCAACGAGGAAATGGCTGGATTTGAGGAAGCGATACTTGGGCAGATATAGCTTGGGAGCTGAATGGGGAAATGTTTCTTCTGCCTGCAGCTGATGAGTTAACAAGACCTCTCTCCAAACAGGTCTGTGCCCTGACTGGGATTCGTGGGATGCTAGCAAACCTGTCAACAATGCTCGGGAAGCGATGCAACAAGCTGATGATTGGTTGGGCATCCCACAGGTAAGCAGTGAATACTTGGTTTGTGCAGTACACAGAAATCTGCATCGAATTGTCTCATGGCTACTCCTGGAGCAAACTCTTGCTCCTGCTTTAAACCATGGGAAAAAGAACAGTGTATGGCGCAGAGTGTTGAAATGTTGGCTTCCTCTGGACCACAGCTGCCTTCAGCTGATTAATCTGGTTACTCTTCCAAATTCTAGAAATTGTAGGCCACTTCTGCATTTGGGGGCTAAAACACTTTCCCAAGACCTTTTCCCTGAGACTCCTGTTCAGCTTTGCCTTCCAGCAAAATACTTGAAGCTGATGTACAAAATCTCCTTGTAGCCTTAAGGACTGGAAGCTTATTCTTAAAAAAGCAAAGCCGAGTTTCAGAAACGATTGTTCGCCTTATTCTTTTCACATCTGTCACCCAAGTGTGGTGTTCATTCTCTACACCTGCTCCTCTATAAGCTGCTCATCTTCTTCCCTCTGTAGGTGATCACTCCTGAAGAGATTGTGGATCCCAACGTGGATGAGCATTCGGTCATGACGTACCTCTCCCAGTTCCCGAAAGCCAAGCTAAAGCCAGGAGCCCCCCTTAGGCCCAAACTGAACCCCAAGAAAGCCAGGGCTTATGGACCAGGTGAGTCCAAGAACAGAAGATAAAGCCCTGTCACCTTGTCTATATGCGGAGGCAACAGAGATGGTTATGGGGTTAGGGACCGGCCCTAGAAGAGGGGTCGCCAGCAAGGGCATTTGCCCCTGGCCTTACCTCACGGGGGGGGGTGCTTCACCTCAGCCAAGGGGAACACTTTGTTGTTTTTTTTAAAGATTGCAAGCCATGCTTTATGGTAAAATACTTTTTAAAAAATCCTGCCCCACCCCCAAGCGATGAGGGGGTTTCGCAACGTGAAATGGCCTGGGCCTCCTCTGAGCTCTAGAGGGGTCTGTTTAAGGGACTGCCACAGCAGGAGGTGGACGGGTGTGTCTGTGATGGATCTTCTTGATCAAGGTCTCTGTCCTAGAAGAGGCTAGCCCTAATCTGCAGAGCCAGTGGCCCAATATCCTTTAAGGCACTGTCCTCCACCCACGCTGCAGCAGGTAATCTTTCAGATGTCGGCAGATGGAGCCTAGAAGGGTTTGCTTGAGACCCATTCATTACGTTGTCGCTTAAGGTGATTTTGTTTTTTAGTCCTGCATCTTCTGGCCATCTGTTTACGGAGGCCCTTGGTGTTAGCAGCTCAAGAGGGCCTGGGCCGTGGAGTTCACCTCTGCCTCTGGTATTTCAGGTATTGAGCCCACGGGAAATATGGTGAAGAAGAAGGCGGAGTTCACAGTAGAAACCATCAGCGCTGGCCAAGGGGAAGTGCTGGTCTATGTAGAGGATCCTGCTGGGCATCGTGAAGAAGTGAGTAGGCCGGGGAGGATGGTGCAAGAGGCATCAGGTCAGGGGCTGTTTTAAGATGGGGCGAGTTGAGGGGCATCTCATAGTAAGATGTCAGTCACTAAGCAAAGCGGTGCATCGTTTAGAGAATACAGGGCTGGCAGATCCAGATTCGTGTCGCTGTTAAGCCATAGAATTTGTTGCTGGTACCTAGTATGCAGTGGTTGACAATGTGACTCAGACTCCGGAGTCCTGGGTTTGATTCTTCACTTGGCCATGGATACTCGCCAAAGGAGGGGGTAGCCCTGGTAAAACCACTTCTTAGTTCTCTCACTTGCCTTGAAAACCCTACGATGGTTCCCGTAAGTTAGTTCTGACCCGGCAGCGTTTAATGTGCTCAACTTTGGGGTCCAGTTACTCTCTTTCAGCTGACCTACCTCATAGGGTTGTTGAGAACATAAAGTAGGGAAGGGTAGAGCTTGAAAAGCAGCCATAAATTTACTGTAAGAAAGGTGGGATACAGATATTAGTTGATAAAGAGTAGTTTTTAAATTCTTGTTGTTGTTTTTTCCTAGGCGAAAGTTGTTGCCAACAATGACAAGAATCGAACCTTCTCAGTGTGGTATGTGCCAAAGGTGACAGGTGTCCACAAGGTAAGAGGCTTCACACAGTGCAGAGGATTGGAGAAGGACTCCAGGAACTGGCACATTGGCCTTAAGATCAGTCTTCCTGGGTGACTCCATCCCTCCCTTCCTTTTTTTCGCTCCAGGTGACAGTGCTGTTTGCTGGGCAGCACATTGCCAAAAGCCCCTTTGAGGTGAATGTGGACAAATCGCACGGGGATGCCAGCAAAGTCACGGCTCAGGGCCCTGGCCTGGAACCCATGGGCAACATTGCCAACAAGACTACCTACTTTGAGATCTTCACTGCTGGTAAGTGGAAGGAGCACAGATCCTGTGTCGGAGGAGCTGTGATGTCCTGTCAGATAGAAACCCTGAGAGGAAGCATACCAGCTGTAGGGGTTTTTGACAAAAGTAGCTTTTCTCAAGGACGGTCAACGACTTGCCCCTTCAGGTCTTCTTGAACTTGGCTCTCATCATCTTTCACCACTGACTGGGCTCATGGGACTTGCAGTCAGACAATCTCCGGTTCCTCAGCCCTGCTCTAGAGTATGAAGACTTAATGCAATGAGTAATTTTAATTCTGAAGAACCTCCAGTATCGCCACCACTTTACCTCAGTTTTGATAGAGTGGTGGTGATACTGGAGGTTCTAACATCACAAGACTGGTGTATGTTTCTAGTTCTCAGACTTTCAGGCTTGTCTCTGGAAGGGAGGGGTTTTGCTTAGCAGACCGAGCTTTCTGTTTCCTGACAGTAATGATCACTTAAGCAGCACTTCAGTGCTTTCAGTGTTTTATTCAGGATTCCTGGAAAGACTGCAGAAACTACCTGGAGGAAAATAGCTATGAATAGGTAACTGCTCAGAGGTGCGGTGACAGTAAATTTGGAACTGCTGTCTTGTTGCATGTGCAAGTGTGTGGTTTCCCAGGTATCAAGTGCAGCTGAAATTGCAGCTGTGTAGCTCTCCTGTCTGACTACAACTCCCATCAGTCTTCGTGCGACAGTACATCTGACTACAGCTCCCACCAGTTTGAGCGAGAATGGCCAATAAGGATGGATGACAGGGGTTGTAGCCTAAGAACACCTGGAAGATTACATGTTCCTCTACCCCTGTAAAATGTCCATATTTTTATTGGACAATGGTTTTTTGTACCAAATAAAGTATTACCACAATCGGGGCTTTGGAGGACATGGTTTCTCCCAGTGGTAGAGGCTGATTGTTCACGTGCATAAGGCCCTGGGGATTCCAAGCTGCCCTGCAAGCTCTTTATTGAACTTGGCAGGGTAAAAAAAAAAACTAAACAATGATGCAGAGTACACAACAGTACTTGGACAAGATCAGTCATCCCTGCTCATCCAAGAACGCTCACCACCTAGAAACTGGTTTTCTGGCTTTCATCTGTCTTGAAGCTCTGTGCTTGTCTTCCTTCGGGCGACAGGCTTGCTTCCTTATTCCAATAGCCGTTGGCAAACAATTGCTCTCTTGTCTCAGGGTTGCCTTTTATATACATAACTGGGAGCTGAACAGCCTCCTTTTGAGTCAGAGGCTGAAGACGGAGTCGCCTTCAAAGCAGGTTGCTGCCTCAGCAGTCTGTCCAGTTCGCTCGTGGCGGCGTCTTCCCAAGCATGAACGTCTCTTGCTAAATCCCAGCTGAAGCCTGCCTGGCGCTAAGTAGAGCATAACATTGTATTCCACAAAACATCTATCAAAGAGGTCTCCCACTGCCATTTCACTGCTTTTAGAAATAGGTCTGCATGACTCATGAGTTTGATCAAGGTTTGAAGCCCAAGTTTGCAGAGTTGAGAAAAGAGATTTCACCGTGCAGTTGTTTAAAAGCAACTGCAAATTGAAAGAGGTTGAGGCTATTTTTGGGAAATAACTATGAAGGACTTTGATACATACATGCATTGGATGAACCTGCTTATTTAAAGGGTGCAAATTAACGCTGGATACCAGGTGGGAGTCTGTGATGGCCAGGCAAGGCACAGTCATCGCATTTGATCGTCGTGCCTCCAACTTAATCCTCCTTTCCCGTTTAGGTGCTGGGGTTGGGGAAATTGAGGTCATCATCCAAGACCCAACTGGCAAGAAAGGGACAGTCGAGCAACAGCTAGAAGACAAAGGCAACAGCACGTACCGCTGCACCTATAAGCCCACTCTGGAGGGCACGTACACCATCTACATCACCTTTGGTGGCATCCCCATCCCCCGCAGCCCCTTTACGGTCACCGTGGGCCAGGGTGAGTCTCCTGCCGTGCATTGGGCTTGTTGGTGAGCTGTCTTCGTCCTTTGCGCTGTTGCCTCTGCTTGGTTTTCCACTTTGTGGTTGGGAGTGCTCTGTTCTGTGCTAACCTCTGCCCTCTCCTCTCTGCCTACTTCCTCCTGTCCTGGGCCAGCTCTCCTCTGCTCTCTGCTCTCTTCTCTGAAGAGCCATCTCCTTGGATCTCTGCTGATACTCATCTCCTCCCAGCTGCTCGGCGCCTGGACCCAGGGCCAATGGTATTTCTCTCTTTGGGTCTGGGCAGGGTGATGTGTGGCAGGGGCGCAGGGGCAGTGTTATCTTTGCGGGAGCAGCCTGTTGGCTTAAAATTTCTCCCATCCCCTTTTGTAACGAGCGGGGGTGGGGTGGGGAGACTAATAGAACGCCTGACATGTTGATCATGGCCAAGAACCTACCAGTCAGAAATAATGGACTTGCCTCTGGTTCTAGAAGGAGAAGATGTTGCGTTCTGCTCACTCTCTGTCTCCCCTCTCTTTCTCTCTCTTCCTCTTGTAGCCTGCAACCCCAATGCTTGCCGAGCGGTGGGCCGAGGTCTGCAACCCAAGGGGGTCCGGGTGAAGGAGACGGCAGATTTCAAGGTCTACACAAAAGGAGCTGGCAGCGGGGAACTGAAGGTTACAGTGAAAGGCCCAAGTAAGTCACGAGCGAGGGTGTGCCCGCGAAGGTTTCCCCATGAATTATGTTTGTTGACTGGACTGGCACATAACTAGAAGCCTTACTGTTAGCATTTCTGTTTTCTGGCTGGTATATGTGGTTTAATCGGCTCTGCTTTTACAGGAGGAGAGAGAGAGGTGTGTTTTGTTCGCATTCTTTTAAAATGATTTTATATCTGGTTCTGCTTTTGATCCGATTGTTACTGCTTTATTGGTGAATTGATTGTCCACTGTCAGATGTTCTTCTGTTTTGTGATGTTTGTAAGGCATCCGGGCTGCTGTTTGTAGTAGAAAAGTGTGGCAGAAATGCAGTTCGTATTTGTATTCATCAATGATGATGACAAACGCACTCTTCATATGCCCTGAGAGGGCTTCACAGGCAGAACCCTGGCTTTTGGGTGCCAGTTTCAATGAGCAAGGCTCGGACAGTTCTTGGGGTCTTCTGCTTTCCTGCTACCCTCGGCCTTGAATCCTTTCACCCTGCCTAGTGGCCGAGTGAGCCTTGGCACTGCTAGTGACATCGGGCCAATAGGTGCCTCACAAAGAGGGAAGCGCAAGATACCTCTTTCTATAAACACACAGAACTAACGTGATTGATCACTGAGGTCTTTAGTTCCATGGAACCGGTGTATTCTTGGGAAATACAGGACCTGCCGGGCCTAATATATTTTAAAATGGTTGACCGGAGATGGGCCAGCAACACAAGAATGAGGGTGTGTAATGCTGTTAACATACTGAAGACTAAGCAGGTTTTAGTGTATTCCATTCCTGGATGGAGAGAGATTAGTAAGGGGAGAATTTGTACTGTAAGCAATGCACAGTTTCCAGAGAATGAGGTGAAAGGGCTTAAAATGAAGCGGCTGCATGTCGGCGGCAAATTGTTAACATCAACATCTCCTCCTTCCCTTCACCCTTAAGGTACAAATACACTAAATTTTAGAAACCCTTCCAAGACTTGGTTGCTGTTGAGCTCCATTGTTTGCCTGGGGACTCTTAAAATTCTTGGGTCTTGCGGCAGGAAGTGCCTGTGTCATTGGCCTATCGGAGTGGCGCATCTTGGTATTTGTACTTTGGTTTGTGAGTCAAGGAAATGGAGCAGTCAATTACTTTTAAGGAATAATTGTGGTAGAGAAGGAGAGGGTAGAATTGCAGGGTGTCTCTTAATAGCAAACAGAACCACAAGTTGCTTGGGGGGGGGGGAAGAGAGCATATTATGGGTCTTGTCTAGGCTGGAAGTAGAGGCTTGTGCAATACAAAGGTATGTGAGTGATGGAGAGGCTGCCTCTGTCAGTCATAACCCTGGGTTCAAACCACAAGCATTCAAAGCAGGGTTGGGCAGCCAGGCCTGAGGCAGACTTCTGTTGGAGCCAAAGGGACATGATCTCTCCCATTTGGGAGATAAAAATCTCAAGAATGTGCCTGTATTTTATTTTCTCTCCATCTTGCAAAGAACCCAAAGGTGCACAGGGTTGTCTTTGGGGAATGTTGTGACATCCGGAATTCTTGGATTTCCAGATAACAAGCTGGGCTTGAACTGGCTGTGGCTATGTCTCTCTCTGGGATCTGTTCAGTCTCGGTCTCTTTATGGGCCTGAATTGCAGCCATTGGGAGGCTGCAATCTTTCAGAAATGCAATAGATTAAAGCAAGTGAATACCTCTCCGCTGTGGAGGGGAAAATGAGGTTTTGCCTGCCAGCCCCCAACTTCTGGCCAAAGCCATTTGGTTGTTTGAGGCAAAGGACAGGGTGCTCCTCTCTCCACACACGATAGTTGACCAGGCTGACAGTTGAACATTACTTCAGCAATGAAGGTGGCAGAGATTCTCTCTGCACCCTGAAGTCACAGATCTTGTAAAAGAGCCCCGGACTGCTTCTGTGGCAACTGCAGCTCTGTTTCTAATGGAAGGAAACAGGTGAGGGGTGCAGCAGGTATAGTCAGGAGGTTGCTCCTACTGCTCCCTAGCGTCTGTTGCTTGAGTCAGCGGCTTCAATTTGCCTCGTGGTAAGGCCCGCTCTGTTCCCAGAGCCAGGATGATAGTGGTCGTATCCCAGTGACAGGCTTGTCACAAGCATCAGCACTTGCATTTTTTGCATGTATGCTTTGCCCTTCTTTCAAAGTGGCATCTTGTAAGAGTCAGTGTCATTTTATACTTAACTCTGAAGAGAACTGCAGAGAACTGTATTTTCGGCTAAAAGGCTGCCTCAAGGCCACTTGACAAGCTTTGTAGCTGGGTGAGGTTTTGAACTCGGGCTCCTCTGGTGGCAAGTGCCAGACTTGTTCCTCCACGGTGCACAAAAGCCAATGACATTTTCCACAAGACAGGAACATATGTGAGAATCTTCAGTGGTAACTGACTGCCTAGCAAGTACATGGAGGCGGCTGTTCTGGGTGCTCGTGGTGCTGCTCTTCCCCCTTCATCAGCATTCATGGAAGACTCTCCTTGTCCCGAGTCAGAGCTCTTCCCTGTTGCCTGAGGTGAAGCAACAAACCATACCCCCCCTGCTCCTGCCCTGTGAAAATAAACCGTGTTTGAGAGAGTTCAAAATATTTGTGTTTTTCTGCTTGATAAAGGGAGAACACCCCAGAAGCACTTCCTCTTTCTCCTTTTTCCTTGCCAGTAAAACTGCAATTATAAACAAAAATGTCAAATCACTGCCCTTTTCATTACAATCCAAACTAGCAGCCTAGGGTGGTGTTGGTTGTCTCTGTTTTGATGGTAGGTCTGGCTGTGTTCAACCACTGTGAACTCTCTCTTTCTCTCTCCCTCCACAGAAGGGCTAGAGGAACGTGTCAAGCAGAAGGACATGGGTGACGGTGTGTATGGCTTCGAGTACTTCCCCACTGTGCCTGGCAACTACACAGTCACCATTACTTGGGGTGGGCAACACATCCCCCGCAGGTGAGTCAGAGAGAACGGTGATGTGGGAAAGCTGGGCACGAGTGGGATGATGGAGAGACCTCTGCCAGTAGGGAAGAGGTGGGGGCAGGTGGCCGCTGAGGTTGAAGGCAGCGTTAGGGTCGAGGGGGATGCCCTGAAGCCCTCCCTGTTGTTCAGCTTGACAATTCTGATTACAGGCTGCTTGTTTCATCTTGCTTGAGAATATTTTGTACAAGGCCCTAAAGAAAGCATGTTTAATCAACTTGTGGAATTAAAATATGTGATGCAAAGACCTTCACAAACAGTGAAGAAATGACTTGCCATTGACCCCAAATCAACCAGAAAGTTAGGGGTAATGGCTTGCTGGGTAAAAAAGGCCTTTTCTGCCAACATTTCTTACTTTTTCTGATTGCTCCAAGAACAAGTGTGCTCATACATCCTTTTGAAGCTGAGTTAGATGATGGATGGGCACTTCATCAGTAGAACTGGCGGGTGGTGGTGGTGGCAAGCAGCAACACACACACCCCAACACATCTAAGAGGCGCAACTGCACGAAACAGAGGAGGCAATGATACTTGTATGGAGGTTCATTCTTAAAATAGTGGGTTTGGAGGTGGCATGTGTTTGTTTAGTGTTGAGGACTTGGGGTCTGATTGTGAAAACACACTGCTGATCAAGCATGTAACGCAGCCTTCTTGCACCACATCTCAATGGTGGGAGTGGCTGTGGGTCTTACTTCTGAAACAATTAGTTGCATAGTTGGAGTGCATGTGATCAGTAAGTTGTGGGTGGTGGTCAGTCTCTTACAGCTTGGAGAAGTTACTTTTTTGGGGGCTGCAGATCCACAGTAGCATCGACAGTATGCTGGCTGGAGGAATTCTGGGAGCTGCAGTACAAAAAATGAGCTTTCCCAAGCTTGATGCTTCCCATAGGCACTTCGATGACCCTGAGCATACATTTCTTTTTTTTTTTTCACTTATCAGCCCATTTGAGGTGAAAGTGGGAACAGAATGCACAAACCAAAAAGTCCGAGCCTGGGGGCCGGGCTTGGAAGGAGGCGTTGTGGGCAAGTCAGCTGATTTTGTGGTGGAGGCCATCGGAGATGACGCTGGCATGCTAGGTAAGAGGGGAAGCTGGAAGAGGATGATCTAATGTGGGCCTTGCATTCATTGGAGCAGCTTTTGAGTGTTCGCAGTCAAAAGGCAGATCAGGGTTCCAATCTGGAATCAAACTCAAGGACCCGCGTTCCCCGTCTGGGTTTCCTCTCGGATTTAGCCCTGAATCTGGATATCAGATTAAGGCAAAAACCTGGAGTACATTTGCACATCTTTATTTAGTGTGCCAACTTTGTCCATCCTTGAAGATGTTGTATCTGGTCACAGTACTCCTTACTTTAAAATACTTTTTGCTTGGGTTCCCTGTAACACCCTTTAAATTGAACAATTAAGGCAAAAACCTGGAGTACATTTGCAAATCTTTATGCCAACTTTGTCCGTCCTTGAAGATGTTGTATCTGGTCACAGTGCTCCTTACATTAAAATACTTTTGGTTTGGGTTCCCTGTAACACCCTTTAAATGGAAGTCCCTTTGAAAAGTATTCAGGAACTTCATTTGGGCCAGACTGCTATGTTCTGATCTAGTTACAGCAATTTGTGACTCTCTTGTTACAACAACAACTTATTTTTACCTACCAGTCTTTGTCCAGGCACAATTCAAGGCACTGATTATGACCTATAAAGCCCCCTATGAATCAGAACTAAAGTGTTCTCCTCTTGGAGTCTGCCTGGGTGTTGAGATCATTGGGGATGGCCATATATGTATCTCTCTGCCATTTGAGGCATGTTTGATGAGTCCACAAGAGAGTGACCTCTCAGTCTCCTCGGCTTGAGGGAGGAAGACCCATTCTTTCTACTAACAGGCAAAGATGGTCTTGTTCTAGCCATTGGCATCTATGCTGTGGTGATCCTGAACAGGTTTTAATTCATGAATGTTCCTGCTTCTTTCTGCTGACATTGTTTTTTTCCCCCAATTTAAATAAAACAAGCAAGTCCTCTTAAGATTTTGGCACTTGTTTCTCATACTGGTATTAGCATGTCTCCAAGCATAGCTGCTTTTCTCTAAAACAGCATTGTATGCATTTGTCATACTGGTCTGTTCTTCCCTGCAGGCTTCTCAGTGGAGGGTCCCTCACAGGCCAAGATAGAGTGTGATGACAAAGGTGATGGCTCTTGTGACGTCCGCTATTGGCCCCAGGAGCCTGGTGAATATGCAGTCCATGTTCTGTGCAACGGGGAAGACATCAAGCTTAGCCCGTTCATGGCAGAAATCAAAGCTGCTCCCAAGGCAAGCAAGTCCTCTTAAGATTTTGGCACTTATTTCTCATACTGGTATTAGCATGTCTCAAGGCATAGCTGCTTTTCTCTAAAACAGCGTTGTATGCATTCACCTGGTCTGTTCTTCCCTCCACCCCCTGCAGGCTTCTCAGTGGAGGGTCCCTCACAGGCCAAGATAGAGTGTGATGACAAAGGTGATGGCTCTTGTGACGTCCGCTATTGGCCCCAGGAGCCTGGTGAATATGCAGTCCATGTGCTGTGCAACGGGGAAGACATCAAGCTTAGCCCGTTCATGGCAGAAATCAAAGCTGCTCCCAAGGACTTCCACCCGGAGAAGGTAAGGGGGTCACATGCTGGAGCACTGGGTGGGGCCAAACGTTATGGTTACAAATAGCACATCAACAGAAGTTGAAGGCATTTTACTGTTCTGTAAGTGGCATTTCAGCTGTGCTTTGTGTCTAAGCAATCATAACATGCAAAGGAAGCCTCTGTTTACTTTGCAGTGACCAATCACAAAACAAGCAAGCTCATCTGCAAGCTACATGATGTGTGAAAAGCATATGTTATGACTAGAGATGGGGGTATTCATATAGGAATACGAATATCCCCACACAGGTGGAAATAACGAGGGTCCGGACCCATGGGGCCAGACTGTCCACTCACGGTTTTGCCGCTGCTGCTGGCTCCGCAGAGCCTTCCTATTTCACCATTGTTCGCACACAGGTGGAAATAACGAGGGTCCGGACCCATGCGGCCAGACTGTCCACTCACGAGTTTTGCCGCCTCCGCCGGCTCCGCAGAGCCTTCCTATTGCATCATTGTCCTCAGTCAATTACCCACTCCTGGCAGGAGGTGGGATGCCAAGCCTCTCTGCTAGGTTGAAGAGTGGCTAATCCATTGTGGAGAATGGTGGCAGTGGTGAAGTGGAAATAACGAGGGTCCGGACCCATGCGGCCAGACTGTCCACTCACGAGTTTTGCCGCCTCCGCCGGCTCCGCAGAGCCTTCCTATTGCATCATTGTCCTCAGTCAATTACCCACTCCTGGCAGGAGGTGGGATGCCAAGCCTCTCTGCTAGGTTGAAGAGTGGCTAATCCATTGTGGAGAATGGTGGCAGTGGTGAAATCGTGAGTGGACAGTCCAGCCCCATGGAGCCGGACCCTCGTTATTTCCACCTGTGCGGGGTTATTCATATTCGTATACAAATACCCCATCTCTAGTTATGACTCAATGGCTTTCCTCACTGAAGGAATTCCTGCTTCTAATAGTTTGCTATCTACATCGTATAATTTGAATGTAAAGCTTTCCTTTGTATTGCAACCTTGCTTCTTTCATGTATCTTCAGGAGGAGGACAGGATTAAGAACCAGTAAATGTTTGGTCCAGTGGGACATGAGAGCCAGTGTGGTTTAGTGACTTGATTATCAGACTAGGATTCAGGAGACCTGGGTTCAGATTGTGTGCAATCATGTCTTGAATAACTCACATCAAAAAAAATCTGATTAAGGTTGCTATAAGTTAGAAGCAACTTGACAACACATAGTATGAACAACTGTTTGGTCCGTGTTTGTCTTTTCAAAGTGACCTGTCAAGGTTGTGTCTATACACAAGGTATAAAGCTACTGCTTATTACTGATGTGTTTGCTTTCTTGGAGAACTGGTAGGTCTAAGGTCTCACTGTTCCAAAGAAACCAACGAGTCACAAAAGTCTCATGGCTGAGGAGTAGTTGAATGAGGTCTAGAGAGGAGACCAGCAGTGGTAGGCCTTAATGCCACTTGTCATGGTCCTATTGGCTGTCAAACCTTGATTCTGAGTTTCTAATTGCTGCCCCTGTTTCTGGGGCCTCTTTGCTTCATACACAGAAGTAGGTTAGATTCAGAGAGGGAGGGAGAGAGAGAGCGATCAGCATGTGAGGGCCAAGCAGGCTTTGTGAGCAAATAGGGATTTGAATCTCAGTCTCCCAGATCTAGTCCATCATGAACTGCTAAACACTTGCTATCTTGCATGTTGCCTGTGCAGGGATTTTAGAGTCCAGCCAGAGGTGTCACTTGACCCAAAGTGGAAGGACAGCCACTTGCATATGCTCTTTTAAATTGCTTAGGGTTTCAGTCCATTGTGTGCTTCTCCTGGCTGTGCTTGTGTGCTTTGCGATGGGCTGCCCAATGTATCTCAGTGGGAGTGAAGTGGCTTAAAGGTTCACAGATCTTTTCCAATCCCTCTTCAGGTAAAAGCCTACGGTCCAGGCCTAGAGAAGACCGGTGTTGCAGTCAACAAACCTGCAGAGTTTACCGTAGATGCCAAGAGTGGTGGGAGAGCACCTCTCAAGGTTCAAGTGCAGGTAAGGCTTTGTCGGGAAGGGAAGAGGGGCAGGACTGTGTTATGCCTATCGCTCTCCAGATGTCTTGTACTACAGTGCCCATTATTCCAGCCACATGCTGGCTAGTAGCAATGGGGATGGGGATGCAAGGCCATCCTAATGGCCCTGTCGTTGGGGGAAGTTTGAAAGGATAGCCGAGGAAGCCATGTGAGAGAAGAGAGAGACTGTTGTATGGAAGAATTACCAGGTTGGTATTTAGGACCTCCTCCTTTTCTTTCCTTCCTTCTTTCCTTCCAAATCCTCCCTCTCAGGATTCTGAAGGATCTCCTGTGGACGTCTCTGTGAAGGATAATGGCAACGGCACCTACAGCTGCTCTTACCTGCCCAAGAAGCCAGTGAAGCACACGGCCATGGTGTCCTGGGGAGGAGTCAACATCCCCAACAGCCCTTACAGGGTCAGTGTCCCCCGAAGCAGTACGCAAAGGGATATGTGGTTGAAGGGTGGTAGTAGTGGGGAGCGAGAAAATGGGATCCCATTACTCTTACTCCTAGTGAGCAAAAGCCAAAGGGATATGGTCAAGCTACAGCAGTTCAGAATCTAGGCATCTCTTCATGTTGGCAACTGGTTTCAGTCTTCTGGTGGTGGTGGTGGTGGTGATGGTGACATACTAGCCATTGAAAAGTCACTTGCTTGCTTCTCCCAGCAAACAAGTTGTTTCTGCTGCCGTTCGCTGTAGCTGCACATGAGCCTCCTGCTTGGTTGATGTGCTTGTGGCATCAGATTTCACTAGCTCACTGAGGTTGTTGAGGCTGCCTACTGGCCAAGTCACACTGGTATCCACTGGATTGTCTTAGTGGCCTCCCATCCAGGTGCTGAACATATTGAGCCCTGTTTAGCTTCAGAAGGCTGGCTGCATCATGTTCCCCTCCCCTTGCGAGACCGTGAGAGTCCCTCTGTCTCTGACACTTGGATTCTCTTTTTGATGTCACTGCTCTCGGATCTCGATGCCTACAGTTTTCCCCTCCACTGTGGTGTGTGTGTGTTCAGCCTTCCGTATTTCTGAAGTGGACCCTAGTCAATAAAAACAGCTGTAATATGTGTATAAAACACCCAAAGATTTACAGCATTGTTGGGTTATTCTGTTCCATTTTTTGAGAATGAACATAATATGCTTTACCAACTCGAGTGGAACCAAATGTTTGTCCTCAAAACTTTAGGGCATGATGCATGGGACAGAAACAGTAAGGGCTCTCCCTTCTATCACAGTTAAGAACTACCATAGCTTTGCTAAGCTGTACACCCTAGCATTGGGACATGGATGTTGCCCCATGAGCCCCCCCTCCCGAAAGCAGTCAAAGGTAGCTGTGGTCTTTGTGTATCTCCCTAGGTAAACGTTGGAGCTGGCAGTCACCCTAACAAAGTGAAAGTTTACGGTCCTGGTGTGGCGAAGACTGGCCTGAAAGCTCATGAACCCACCTACTTCACAGTAGACTGCACAGAAGCTGGACAGGGTGAGCCTAAGACAGTTTCCATCTTTAATTTCATGAAATGCGTCATGCCTGGCATTGCTTAAAACAGAGAGACAAGAGCTGTCACCAGCTACTTGGTGGTCATGTGGAAAATGCAGCTCGTATGGGTGGGTCGCTTTCTCTTGCCCCATCCCCTCATGTTGTACAGCTGTCGGAGATTTGCAGAGAAGCAAAATGAACTTCTAGAAGTCATTTTATGCCATGAAGATGGTGTGAAATGTGCATACAAGCAAAGTTTAGAAAGTTAGCTTTTTGATTGCAATGCCCAGAATCTCCCATGACCTTTGGTGGTTGGGGGATTCTGGGAGATGTAGTTAAAAAGGTTCAGTGTGAGTTGCCCTATGCATGTTTGAAGGGCTCTGTAGAGGAGAGACTTCTTGCTCTCTGGCTTCCCTTCTTTTCTCCACAGGGTACTCAAGGAAGTTGTGAACAATGCCGTGCAGTCTCTCTGATCCCACCGCTTGATCCAGCTTCTCTTTTCTTTGTGGCCCACCTGAATAAAGCCTCTTGTATCCCAAGAGCTGTTCTTCAATGGCTGCTTTGTGTTTAGAAGACTGTCCCTTTGAAACACAAAGTGGTGTCCCTTCCACTGCTTTAATGGGGGTGGAGGTTCCAAGGCCACACGTCCCTTAATGTAGAGTGAGAGAGTGAGGCAGTTAGAATGACGAGACCTTTGTACATGCAAACTGCATACACTTGAGCTCTTGACCATTCCAGACCATGGAGTGAGGGAGAGAAAAGAGCATCCCTCCACATGGGCTCCTGGTTTCCATCTGCCACAGCTGTCACAACCTGCCTTCGAGATCCTGGAAAAATTGTTTGGAACAAGGGATTGGGCAAAAGCATTGATCTGCATGGCCAAAAAAACAGATGTGGGGAGGAGGCAAAGGCTTGCATGGAACAGAGTGAGGACTGTGCACCAGAAGCTGCTCTACAACACAGAGTCATTCTCCCTTGCTGGTTGGGGGATACACTGCTTTTTCAGGTCTGGGCTGTAATAAAGTATCTAGGTCCTAGTTTTCAGGCAGTGCTTCTGCTCTCATGCATTGTTGACTCTGCTTTTGTCCCGTCATAAAGGTGATGTAAGCATTGGCATCAAATGCGCACCGGGTGTTGTGGGCCCAGCTGAGGCAGACATCAATTTTGATATCATTCGCAACGACAACGACACCTTCACAGTCAAGTACACCCCCCATGGCGCTGGCAGCTACACCATCATGGTGCTTTTTGCTGACCAGGTGAGATTTTGTTTTCGGATCACGGGGCCCGCTCCAGATGGGAGTCCTGCAGCGGGCTGGCGGAGGGAACCCTGTTGTTCACTTGCATCCTGTCCACCTCCCTAGGCCACCCCCACCAGTCCCATCAGAATCAAAGTAGATCCCTCGCATGATGCCAGCAAGGTCAAGGCGGAAGGACCTGGTCTCAACAGGAGTGGTGAGTAAGAGGACTGTGCAAACAGGTGTGACGCGGTGAGGGGGGGGGGAAGTATATCTTCAAGCCAGGGCTCAAGGACTCCAACTGAAAGCAGGAATGGCTACTTATTTTGCAAATGAGAAGGTTTCAGCAGCTGTTTATATTTCACGTAGAACTCGGAGAAGTTACAACCCAGGGTGAACTCATTACAGAGCGGCTAGCTCCCTTAGAAGAGGGTAGTTTGCAGATTTGTATCCCTCCTCGGCTGTGGGCCAAATGACATTGAGGGCTATTGCCTTGCCCTCAAACTTCATTTGCTCCCTGGGTGGAGAAACAGCTCGAACTCTTCTGCCTGGGATTTTGGTTTCTCATCCTCCTGCCCAGAGGCAAGTGGGGCCATGTGTGTTCTGCTGACATTTCAGGAATCAGTTAAGCCCTGAGATAGGACTGGATTGGCTCTTGAGCCTCGAACTGGCTAGTCTTTGTTCACTTCCTTGTCTTCTCCACATGGGAAAGGTAAAAGAGGGGAGCACAGTGGACTTCCCTTCCCAAGGAGGGGAGCGGAAGGAGAAACAGCCAGTGGACCAAATGGGGCCTGTATGCCAGGAATGCTGAGTTACAGCTAGACAGCCGGGACCAGAAATACAGCTTGGTTAAATTTGGCAGGCAGACAATTATTTTCATTAAAAACTCAATAATTGAAGAGCTTTGGAGGAGCACCACGCCTTCCTAACCCCATCCCTGTGTTTTTATGTTGTCCATCTTCTACCATTGGAGGTTAAAAAAAACATGAGGCCCAGGGGGAAGAGGTGGTGGTGATGCTGCCGCAATAGGTTTGTAAGACTGCCTTGACCCCTTTTGTATCTTGTTTACCTGAGGTCAGAAGCAAAGGTCTCTCCAGGGGAGCATTTTGGTTTGTCTCTTAAATAGAGTTCCTGGAGGCAGGAAGCCAAAGTCGAAAAGAGGGAAGGAGAGAATGGGAGAGTTCTCAGATGTTTGGTCAAAAGCCATTCACCCAAACCCAGTAGACAGTTTTGAATATTGTTCCACTCTTTCCCCCCAAAATGGATAGAACTTAAGTGTAGATGAGATGTGAATGTAATGCAAAATGGGCATTAGCCTCACAAGCTTGAGGGAGGGCAGTGTAGTTCCTGAACAGAGTCCACTAAGGAGCTTGTCAAGATGTCCTGTGGCCTAAAATTGAGGAACAAGTGGACCTGTGGAAATTGCTGGGCTAGATTTCCCTCCCTCCCCTCCCCCATCACCACTTACCACATAGCCAGTGGTAAGGGATGTTGGACATTGTGGTCCAACAGCATCTTGGGAGGCACCCTCCCCTCAGCATTGCTCGTGGGCAGTGACAGAACGTCTGGACATTGTTTGCCTCCAACAGGAGTGGAGATTGGCAAGCCAACCTATTTCACAGTCAACACCAAGGCAGCTGGCAAGGCTAAGCTGGATGTCCAGTTTACTGGCCCAGCCAAAGGAGAGGCAGTCAGAGACTCTGAAATAATCGATCATCACGATAACACCTACACCGTCAAGTATACACCTGTGCAGCAGGTAAGTGGTGGGGGAAGAACAGAGTGGCTTGACAAGCTTGGCCGTTAGTAAGACAGGACCTGTGAGGCATTGGTGGGCTCAGTATGAAAGTAACGGGACGCATGCTTTTTGGCCATGAACCGGGAAGAAGGCAGCCAAGGTTCCTGACAGCTTTAGGGGAATGAGGTTATGGTGGATAGTCATCACGTAAGTTCCTGGTTCTAATCTGGCCTTGTCCCCATTTTGTGTCATGGGTGAGGTCATCTCCACAGGAGCTTTTGTAGGAGCTATTGTTTGAAGTCTGATGTGTTGCAGTCCATAGGCTTGGTCCCTTCTGTAGTGGAAAAAAATGGTTTCAAATGGGTCCAGCCCACACGAGCATTTGTAGGAGCCATTGTTTGAAGTCCCTTCTGTAGTGGAAAAAATGGTTTTAAATGGGTCCAGCCCACATGACAAACCATGGGTGGAGGCAGCTGTGGGTCAGACCCCTTGCCACTCGAACTGTGTTTCTAGGCTGGGAACCTCTTGAAGTCAAGAAAAGTGTTTGCTTAAGAAGGGGACAGAGGAATGCCTACCAGCTGAGGCTGATAATAGGTGGGGCCAAAGCCATAAGTGGGGAAATGGCTTTCTCACTTTTTCGCTGCACTTATTTCCCTTAATTCCTGGTCACCCTGGAGGAGGAGGAGGAGGAGGAGAGTAATTCCTGGTCACCCTGGAGGAGGAGGAGAACTCTAGTTCCCCTCATGACCTGCAGCCTCCTTGCAGCAGTGCCTCCATATTTTTGCTGAATCTTAGGAAAAAGCTGAATGGAAGCGCTGAGGGCAGAGAATGTCCATCAGGCCCATGGGAATGGGATAATGCTAACGCTCCCCTCCCTCAAGGGGCTCCTTCTTTCCTGCCCCTGCTGCTCAGCTTTCTCCACTTTATCAGTAGAGCAACAGGACTGCAGCCAGGCCTCCCCTCAGACTGCTACTGTTTCCTGAGAGGCACCTGGGATACCTTCCCTCCCTCCCCTCTCCATAGGAAGGGCGGTGGGATCCATCCCAGGAGAGGAGACTAGCCAGGAAGGCTTCATTGCTCTGAGTGATGGGAATGACTCATTTCCCCCCCCCCCGCGTGCTTTTTGTTTTTCAGGGCAACATTGGGGTGAATGTAACATACGGAGGAGACCACATCCCTAAGAGCCCTTTCAATGTGGGAGTGGCACCAACCCTGGACCTTAGCAAGATCAAGATCTCTGGACTTGGAGACAGTACGTATCTTAGTCACTGAAAAGCAGAGTTTTGAAGTGCGTTTATCTGTTCCTGTTAGCCAAAGAGAAAGCAATGAGCTAACTGTAGTCTCTTAACTGCTGGGAATCCTCTCTGCTTCTGGACTCTCTGCTTCTATAGGAACATCTCGTGTTTCTATAGCATGCTTTCTAGCCACCATAAGGGCTAGAAAGATGTCTTTCAGTGCAAGCTAAGATTCTGATGATGTCTTAATTCTGCAGTTAATGGGAAAATGTGCCTTTCTATACATGTGCAGAATGCTTCTCTTTCTCCCCGTCTCTCAAATTATGAGCCTATTCAATGAGTTTTTGTGGCTCAGAATAGCAGCTTGCAAGGATCTCTTTGGGTGACCGGGTAGATAAGGTAACCTGTCTATATTTTTTTTAAATCTTTCATCTGTAAGCACATCAACACAGTGGTTGACAGAGCTAATCAAAATTGATGTGAACTAATTAAGGAGCCAGGGCCTATCTATTCTAGAAGTCTTCCTGACTTTCAGTTTAATCACTCTTTGGCCACATTTGCTATTATTTCATCTGTCAAAAGCTGGACCTGTGGTCTTACTATGGAACAAATGTTGTGTTAGGAAAGAACCTTGATCATTAGACTGTGTGTGAAAGAGAAACAGAACGAGAGTCTAAACTGGAGCCCATACTGGCACCCCTAAATTCTAGTATCCCTGAAAGTTGTAGTCCAAGAACATCTGGCGACCCAAGGTTGGGATCCATGGCTCTGGAAGAAAGACAGATCTTAGGTGCTTGCTAACTTTGAGATAGGCTCAGTGGGATGTCCAAGGCAATCGTTAGACCTGAACCATGCCATTCTTTGCACCAGGTGGCCATACAGTTAACGCTCCTCTTCAGGGACCTGGGCCTTTGTCATATTTATTCCAACAGAACCCAATGGCCTCTGGGAGGTTCATGTGGGGCACAGTTGAGATAATTAATAGCAACTTCAATATTCACATGCCATATTCAGGGTGGTGCAGACTGTTTTTTTTTCTTTTTTCTTTTTTGCACAAGCACAGAATGGATTTATATGCTTCCTGGGGGCTTTGTTCATTTGCTGAAAGACATGGTTTTGGTTTTTAAAAAAAGCAGGCTTGTTTTTATACACATTAAGAGAGATGGAATTCTCGAAGGGGTATCTGAATCCAACTAGAGGACATTGCCTAACCCTAGATTGTGATCGTGGTTGCTCGTGGTGCAAGCTCCTAGTCTGATATGATCAGCAAGCCCTGTTAATTTTCCAAAGAGCGCTAAACGCTGTTGCAAGGCGAGATGGCAGGTGCCTATTTAACATCCCAAGATCTAAGGAGGTTGCTAAACTTTTCCCATGAATCCATGATTTTCTCCTCGTTCCCCACCACTCCTGATCCTATTGGAATCATTCTGTGTGCATAACTAGCCAGACCAAGTGGTGCAGTCCCGTGCGGCACAGATTTCAGAGGACTCGTCTATGCTATCAGTATCAGGGCTTAAACTGTTAACAGCTCCTACCCTGACAAGAGGTTTCCGATTTTGATAAACGGCTGTTGGGGGGGAAAAAACAACACCCAAATCCCTTGATTCCTTCTCTAGCTATAGTTTGTGAATTCCATGAAAAAAAACCCATGGATGGAAAACTTATTCATTTTGGTGGGGCAGGTAACTCTTTAGAGGCCTCCCTGGTGGCTGCTTCAACAAAACTTTTCCTTTCCTGCAGTCTGGCCAGGGCAAAATGGTTGGAAGCACTCCAAGCTCTCTTTGTTTTCCAGGAAATGTTAGTCATGCCAGTATTGCTCCCTTCCCTTGGCCTAGTCCCAGTCACAAAGTGGGATCACCTTCTCTGTTCCTTGGGATATGATGTCACAGATCTGAAGACCACTGCCAAGAAGGCAGGGTGAGGGATCTTTGACCCTTGAGGTGTTTTCAAGGATAGTGCCATAGTTCATTCTCATACCAACGGAGGCTTCTGAGTGCTGGAACTTCAGAATACTTGAGGGCCCCATCGTTCCCCAATTCTAACCTAGGAATAGAGTGGTTCTTTCAGGTCTAGTGGCTCTTAAGGCAAGACGCTGGACTTGGGTCTGTGGGAATCCTTGGCCCCAGGGTGAGGAGGAAAGGTGCTTGTCCAGAAGGAGATCATAGATGTTGAGATCTGACACATGCCCAATACTTTCAGAAGTGGAAGTGGGCAAAGACCAGGAGTTCACCGTCAAATCCAAGGGAGCTGGAGGCCAAGGCAAAGTGGCCGCCAAGATCACAGGCCCTTCCAACAAGCCAGTGCCTTGTAAAGTGGAGCCGGGCATCAGTGCTGACAACAGTGTGGTGAAGTTCATCCCCCGGGAGGAAGGACCCTATGAAGTGGATGTGACCTACGATGGCGTGCCTGTCCCAGGCAGTCCCTTCCCTGTGGAGGCTGTACCTCCCACCAACCCATCCAAGGTAGGAGGAGCTCCCAGTTGATTGGCGGGCGGGTTGGGTTTTTGTTTTTTTATCTGCTTGTAGTTCTGCTGGAGAAGGCACGGAGGGGCAAGACCGGATGGCTCGGTGCCTGCCGTGTGTGCTCTGGAGTTTTTAGAACTCCAGGCATTCTGTTGGGCCTATTGCATTCTGGATACGTTGGTGTCACTGGACAGGTGTGCAGAGTGTCTGACCAAATTCACCCTTATGGAAAGTCTCTTTGCTTGACGTGCATGTCTCATAAGTTGATGCCCTCTGGAAACAAGAGAATACAACCATGTTCTAGCTTAGCCACCCAGCTCTGGTCTAGGGATGGGAAACTTCCCAGCCAGATATAACCAGGAAATGTTTGTATCAGTCTCTTATTTCTACCTCATGCCCACCATACTGAGTTGTGAGTCATGAGCATCCTGGACCTGGTGAACTTCAGTCGAAGGAGATTCCTCTCTTTTTTTGTTGTTGTATTTGGGCCTCTTGGGTGAGGGTTGCTTGGCCTTGGTGTAATGCAGTGGCCACCATCAGGATTAAGAATGAGAGAGAGAGAGAGTTGAGGGCAGCCAATTAATGTGCAGGCTTGAAGCCCAACCATAGAACATGGTGACTAGATTGCCAGAACATCCTGAGGAAGGATGCTGCAGCTGCCACACTTCTTGGTTACGTGTTTAAGGTCATGCCTGCCCTTGCTTGCTTTGAGTTTATTTTCAATCTCTCTTTCTCAAAAACCTTCCAGTGGATGCCTTATTTTTCCCCAAAAGAAGACTAGCAGAACATATTTGTCCATACAGCTGCCTTGCTCAGGGCGGGCTGGGGATGATGGTAGTTGTGTCCAACACATCTGGGTGACAGCAGGCTGGAGAAGAGTCTGATAGAATGTCCTCACATCTAGAGATGTGGCTTTACAAGAGGAAGCCGTGGCTGCCAGCGTGGATGTTGTGGGAAGTGGGATATGAATCTACAAACCTCAATGAGATCATTCTTCCTCCATAATATTCTGCTTCCTATATTGGAGGAAAGGGGGTTAGCGATTCTTTCAAGTATTTTAGCATCTTCGTATCACAGCCGCCATCTTAAGAAGATAAGTCTTTTTAAAAAAGAAGAATGGTAACTCATAGGCCACAGTGATTGTGGACTTCCAAGGTGATTGATCCTGTTTTCTTGTCTTCTCTTCCTTAAATTCAGGTGAAAGCTTATGGTCCAGGCCTGAAGGGCGGAGTAGCCGGTTCTCCTGCTCCTTTTACTATAGATACCAAAGGAGCTGGAAATGGAGGCCTAGGCCTGACTGTGGAGGGTCCCTGCGAGGCCAAGATAGAATGTTTGGACAATGGAGATGGCACTTGCTCGGTCTCTTACTTGCCTACAGAGCCTGGCGAATATAACATCAACATCCTCTTTGCTGATACCCATGTGCCTGGCTCCCCCTTCAAAGCCCAAGTGGCGCCGGGCTTCGACCCATCCAAAGTGAAGTGTTCTGGACCAGGCCTGGAACATGCCACTGTGGGGCAAGCCGGGGAGTTCAGTGTGGACTGCTCCAGCGCTGGTAGTGCTGAGCTCACCATTGAGATAATCTCGGAAAGTGGCACCCAAGCTGAAGTCCATGTGCGGGACAACGGGGACGGCACGTATACCATCACCTACATCCCTCTCTGCCCTGGCGTTTACACCATCACAATCAAATATGGCGGGCAGCCTGTCCCTAATTTCCCCAGCAAGCTCAATGTGGAACCAGCAGTGGACACCTCTGGAGTGAAGGTCTACGGCCCTGGAGTGGAAGGCAAAGGTGAGAGAGTTGGGAGCACTTTGGGTACATTGAGTCATGAGCTCCATTGATAACGCTGTGGGGCAGGTCAGTGTGTTGATGGCTCTGTGGGGCAGGGCAGGAGTGCGATGGGATCGTTGAAAACAAAGATCTGAAAGAGACATGACAGGATTTGGATAAACCCTTAGAAGATTGTTGTAAGCCACCTAGAGTGGTCATATAGACCAGATGGGTGGGGTATAAATAAAATAAAATAAAATAAATATATCAGAAGAGATTCTTTGGATTTTAAAATAAAATAAAATAAAATAAAAAATAAAGATGTCAGAAGAGATTCTTTGGATTTTAGATGAATAGTTATAAACAATAAATGACTATTGTATTTGGTTGGGCTTTTGTGGCTTTGTGTGCACACAGAGTTTGCATTAAAGTTTGGAAAAGTTACTTTTTTGGACCATGTTCCACAGGAACCGTGGCCATGCTGGCTAGGGCATTTTGCAATGTATACTCTAAAAAACTGATTCTTCCAAACTCTGGTTTTTACTCTTTATACTTCAAGCTGCTTGCTTCTCAGCTGTTGTGATGGAGCCAGCCTCCCACTGCTGCCTGACCCTTTATGGTTGGTCACTTTTTCATCCCATCTCTTGACTCAGAGGATAGGAAAAACCACCACCTTCTGAAACCATTCCTATTCTTCACTCTCCCCTTTTCCTTTTTTTCAACCATTGTTTTTGACCTTTATTCCCCTTCAGCCTTTCATTCCCCTTAAGCAACCAGTCCCTGGCACTGGTTGCCTGGATCCTCCCTCTTCCCAGGATTCTGTTTCCTAGACATCATTGTCAGTGACTCCTATTCATCCTTTGCCATTCTAGGAAGGAAGCTTACAGCCAAAGTGGGTGAGCTCTGATAAAATGCTTACTGACAGGACTTGAGTTTGCATGACTGAGAATACATAGCACAGTTCAAAAAAATAAATGTGCAACTTGTGTTTTCTGCTTCCTTATTCAGTCAGATTGAATAAACAAGGGTGTTGGAAATTTTAAGCAACATCTCTGGCTCACCAGGCTTTGCCATCATATCCTTGGGGTTGGTTTTTTTTTTCATAGCTGTCAGGACAAGAAACACAAGGTTTTAAATCTCAATACTAGTTACAGCTTGTGCACTGAGCTAGCAAACTATTCTGCATAAACTGAAGGTTTCACAGTCATGTGATGTTAAAGTGTACAGGGCTGGGACTGAGAGGGTAGTGGGCAGGAGAGTTAAGACTCTTAAAACGATAAGTCCTTTAGTGACTGTACATGGTTTAAAAACAGAGCCACTTAAGCTGTGCTTCATCTTGAGGTTACATTGGTGATGAAATAAAAATTGTTTCTAGATTTTGCCTCAGGTACAAAGCACAGCCCAAAGTATTTCACTGTGTTAAGACAGAATGCAAGTAAGTTGTTACTTTTATGGACAGAGTTGAGGATTCTCTTTTTCCGCATCTGAGGCTCGTTTTGACTTCAACTCAAACATCATGTTGTTAGGTCAGGGAGTTTGACGCTGAACATCTCCCTAAGAACCCTAGAGAACGTTATAGACCTTTAGGGGAAAAGCTTATAAACTAAAAAAAGGCAATCAAGATTCAGATAATGTATCTCTAAAACACATCAGTTAAAAAGTATTATAACTTTATGGTTGTTGTGGGTTTTTTGGGCTCTTTGGCCGTGTTCTGAAGGTTGTTCTTCCTAACGTTTCGCCAGTCTCTGTGGCCAGCATCTTCAGAGGACAGCATGTGAAAGCCTTCGTGAATACATATTATAACTTTAAGTAATCTTTAGCCTTTATGCATATTACTGGACAGACATGTCAAATTATTAAATAATGTTCTCAACCAGCCAAGCCAGCCTTGTGCCAGTCAGTTTCCATCTATGGAGTCATAGTAAAGATGATTATCATAGTGACAGCCTACTACGTAGATCCTGAGTTACAAGTCCTGGGACTGTGATGCTGATTGTTTTTTTCAGCTTCTGGAAATGAAGCCTGCCGCTGTGCTGCTACATGCCTGCTGCTCTTTGATGACTGGTGCCCAGTGACAGTGTTTTAGTATCTTGTGTGTGTGGCTTCTTGAGTTATCATGATGAGTTGAATGTGGCTGTGTGTATACCTCCCTATAGTTATATTTCTCTCAGATGTCCATACCTGCCCCCCAATTTGTCAATAATCCTTATTATGACCAAAATTTTACAAAACCTAGAGGAATAAATGCCTATAACATAAAAGATCTGGTACACACCAAGGTGCTGTAAAAACCGAGTACTGTAGTTACCATAGCCAGTTTTAGTACTTGCAAATGCCATCTCCAGTCATATTAATACAGTGCAACATTTTACCAATTACAAAATAATTATTTCAGTACAGTGTCAATTCTATACCATGGCTGGACTGTCAGGTACAAAAGTAATTCTTTTTGCTAGGCAGTGTTTATGTACAGTGACCTTGCTTGGCTGGAAAGCTGGCTGATTGTTTTGCAATGATTTTAGTAAACTGCTGTTAAAGCCTTGTTTTTAAAAGCGCTTTCATTTTCATGGATATCTTTTAATACACCCCACTTAATTATTTTAACATTCTGTACACACAAAATTTCATATCTTGGAAATATACCCTACTCAGGTGTGTTCCGCGAAGCCACAACTGAGTTCAACGTGGACGCCAGAGCCCTGACTAAGACCGGAGGCCCTCATATCAAAACCAGAGTGTCCAATCCCTCAGGAAACCTGACCGAGAGCTATGTGCGTGATAACGGAGATGGTACCTACCATGTGGAATACACTCCTTATGAAGATGGTGAGAGCTTTAAGGGAAGGGTTGCTCATGGTAGGGAGCCAGTGTAATATTGGGTAGGTAGGAGCTGGTGGAAGGGTCATCAACTCTAAGGCCATCACCAGTGCTTGCTTTGCAGGCCTGCCTGGTTTTCTTTGAGAAACAGAAAGATGTAAAGGCTTGTGATCAGCAAGTCAAGCCCACTTCTTAAGCAATAATAAAAGTCTGAGGTGGTGAAGACGGTCTAAAACAGGGCTAGGCCTGCTATATGGTAAAATGGCATTATGTCTGTGATTTTTCCCCTTCTCTTTGAGGTGTGCTCCCTCTTAAACTTTCTGCCTAAAAACAGGTGTGGGCAATCTTTTTTTTCCCCCTTGGCAAGGGCTCCATTTGCCTCCACAGCTAATTATTTGGGTGATTCATGCTGTGGGTGAGGCTGAAGCTACTGGTGGATGGCATCGGACCAAAAATGAATGAGTCTAGCCCATGGCTTCCTTCCACGTTATATTCTCTCTCACTCTCTTTCTCCCCCATTCTTTCTTCTTAATTTGTGCTTTGGAACCTTAACGGTTTTCTCTGGAAAAGTAGGTTGAGAGTCATGGGACCCTAGGAGCACAGGTTGTTCCCCACCCCCAGCTTAAATTTTAAGATTTGTAACATTATGGGCTGCTACAGCCTGACCCTAAGGCCTGCTACATCAGTAAAGTAGAGTCAAAGGAGGAAGGGATTATCCTTGTTCTCTACACATCTCAGATGGAAGAGGTCATCCTCTGGGAACAACCTTGGAAACATTGATCCTTTGCCCCTGATTGCTTAGCTGGGGAATCAGCCAGTTCTTGTGTATATCTCTAGGATCTGTCTGTAGGACCTCCATCCTCAGTGGAGAGGCTGGAAGTCCCTACGCTCTAGCTGAGTATTCTATTCTTGGTCTTTCCCATCTTTCTTCAGGTGTCCACTCTATTGATGTGACCTATGATGGCAGCCCCGCGCCCAGCAGCCCCTTCCGTGTACCAGTAACTGAAGGCTGTGACCCCACAAGGGTCAGAGTCCATGGTCCTGGTATCCAGAGTGGTACTACCAACAAGCCAAACAAATTCACAGTGGAGACCAGGTACAGTTGAAGGAAAGAAGTGGATAAGAACATTGTGCTAAAGTTGAGAGAGGAGCTTCTGTCTTGGTTTGTTCGCTCTCACTTGCTCTTTGTAGGGGAACAACTTTCCCTCCAAAATAGTTCATCAGTGGAACAGGTAGAGAGAAAGTAGACCTCTACCTAGTCCTCCAAGTCCATGTCTGTTTAGGTTGATGAGTCATCGTCATTCTCCACCTTTACACCCAGTTCCCACCAACCCACCTTGACTCCATCCCCACCCTCCAGGTGTATCTCCTCCACCTTTGGACTCCTAACTGGGGTACAGCTCTTCTTGCCTTCTGTGCCCTTTGGCCACCCTGCCACTGGGATTTCCTGGCATTTTTCCAGGGGTCATGGGTCAAGTGGACAGCTCCCTGGGGACAGCTAGAGTGTCCTCTTTACTGAGGGTCAGGGAGGATCATACACAATCTTGGTTGCTGTGTCCAGAACGCTCTAAGACACAGGTGGGAAGCCTTTGGCCCTCCAGATGTTTTCAACTTCCGCTTCCCCAACCCCTTGTCCATTGCCATACTGGCTAGGGCTTCTGGGAGTTGTCAGCCAAACAACTAAATTTTCTCTGTGAGTGCTCAAAGTGGGCAAAAAGCACACAGTGCAATTACTTAACAATTAAGGCACAAATCGTCCTTAAGTATTAAGAGAGCTTGACTGCTGTTTTGCTATGTGAACTTCAGGGTGCATCAGCCCATAAAGCCAACATGAGACTGAACTTGTAGCAGCCCAGTGCTAGTCTTGCTAAAATTCACCTCTCTTTTTGGTTTGCTTAAACAGGAGCCTCCTAGTTTTATCTCTTATTGTTTAAAGCAAGAGTCCATGGTAGTGTGTATTCCCCATGAAGCAAACTTAAATGCTAAAGATCAATAAGCTGAAAGACAATGTCCAAATTGACGTTTTTTTCATTGCAGGGGTGCTGGTACTGGTGGGCTGGGCTTAGCTGTGGAAGGTCCATCAGAAGCAAAAATGTCTTGCACTGATAACAAAGATGGCAGCTGCTCCGTGGAATATATCCCCTATGAACCCGGCACTTACAACCTGAATGTCACTTATGGTGGCCACCAAGTGCCAGGTAGTATGTGGGATGGGTGGGGAGATCGAGCAACAGAGGGTTGGATTGCAATGTACAGTCTGTTACCAGAGGTGTTTGGGAACCATTGGTTGTCCAGCTGTTTTGGACTTCCAACTCTAGGGCATACCTGATGACAAGGGACTGAAGGTCTCATAGTCCAAAGCATTTGGGAGGTACAGATGTTTCCCACCCCTGCAATAGCTGATCTGTCTTACTGATGGTAGTTTCTGATGCAACATACTCTCTCTGTGGTTTCTGGATTGCTTTCTTAGCATATTTGGGCTAAGTGAGGAAGAAGGTGACTACCCAACCCAACGTAAGGTGTATTTTGTGATCTTCATTAATACCACTTTGACAGTTCTCTAAGCTCTCTCTTAGAGTAGAAATGAGACCACCTCTCTGGGCAGAACTTGGTACTGTAGTGAGAGAAGTCTTAACTGCAGTTGCCTTGACTCTAAAATGGTAGATGCAAATGAAGTAATCTTCAGCCCACATGTCTTTCCAATGTTCCTCCATTGCATTTGAGAGCCAGATTGAGTATTGTGGTTGGACTGAGTCTTGGGAGACCCAAAAACAAGGGAGGACAATTCAATCACAAAAAAATTCTTCCTTAGGCTTTGCTAGGCAGAGTTTGGGCAAGGGGCCTGAAACAAAATCCTAAAACCATCCTGACCAGATTTGGGGCTTTAGGTTTCAGAGTTAAAGTCAAGTCCCAAAATGGAAGAGTGCAAACTGTTGGAACCACCTTGAGTTAATTAGATTTCACTTTGTGGGAGACGGAATCAGTTGTCCTAGTTCCTCTCTGCAGACAAAGAGCTGCCTGTCACTCAGCGTCTTCTCTATGGCTTTGTCTTGAAGCCTATAATCCCTGTTTGATTGGGAGCGGAGACACCTGGAAATATGGCAGAGAAGTTGGGGATTCAGTTTGGTTGGCATGGTGACAAATAAAATGGTCAGCTGAAGTCAGGGTAAGAGCATTGTCTTGGCTTGAGGAAGAGGGAATCCTCATTGAGGTGGAGATTCAAGTTCAAGTTCCCACTGAGCCATGAAGCTCATTAGGTGACCTTAGGCTGGCCACTTTCTCTTACTCAGCCTGACCTACCTTGCAAGGTCGTTGGCTGTGAGGATATAGTGGAGAAGAACAGAGGCATCGTCCCAGTCTTGTACTCACCAGAGGAAAGGCAGGGCAATAAACGTAACTTAATTAGCCAAGTAAGATCTGCATTCTTTTGAACGCTTTGGTAACTCTCTTCCAAACAAAAGAAAGTGGCTAGAAAGAGTAGAGTGGGAAGACCAACAGGATGATGAAATTGCTATCTTGACAATTTGAGGCTGGGAACTTGACCACTTGTACTCCGTTGCTATATCTGGCAGGCCTGGTATTGCCATCGTCCCTATGTAGCCTGTGAGGTTTGGACATACTGTACTACATACAGGTTGGAAACAGCCACCAGTTGTTAAAACCTGTCACCTTCTAAAGACCCAAGATGCAGCCAGTTGGATTATAGGCTAGAATTTTCTGAGAAGAATACCAGTAGCAAAAAAACCACAAACAAACAAAAACCATTGAAAATGTGCAGTAAATGGAGTGGACTCTGGGTTGAAGCCCTCTGTGAAAGTGCACCAATCATGGAGAGTGTCTGCTTTGCCCAAGATGTATCTTCTCGGCTCAGGCCCAACCTCTCTTTCTTTTTCATAGGGAGCCCTTTCAAAGTGCCTGTGAATGATGTGGTGGATTCATCTAAGGTTAAATGTTCAGGCCCTGGCCTGACTCCAGGTGTGGTCAGAGCCAATGTGCCCCAGTCCTTCACTGTAGACACGAGCAAGGCAGGTGTGGCACCTCTCCAAGTCAAAGTTCAGGGTCCAAAAGGTAAGCAGACACTGTTCACCCCTGTACAAAATCCTATCCTGACCCAGACAAGTAGTGGCATTCTAGAGGCTGACTCTTCCCTCACCTCTTGCACCTTTCCTGCAGGGGTGGTTGAGCCAGTAGATGTAGTGGATAATGCCGATGGGACCCAGACTGCAAGTTATGTGCCAAGCCGGGAGGGCCCGTACAGCATCTCTGTGCTCTATGGAGATGAAGAGGTGCCTCGCAGGTATGGATTGTGGGTTGAGTTGGGTGAGCCTGAGGGCAGAAACTAGATTCAGAAGCCTCTGTCGAGCAGATGCTGGATAATCTCTGACTTTAGCACTTTCTGTCAAAGTTTGTGACCGATGACATTTCCCTCTCCTTCACATTTGGGGACAATGTGGAAGTTGGTTGACGTCAAGAAAAACTGGGCAAAGTTTACAATACTGATGGGTGGGCGGGCAGTATTGCACAGAGTTACCTCCCCCCCACCAAAGTTTATGCCATTTCTTACTCAGTAACAGCAAGACTTTCTAAATAAAAGCAATAATGAAAACAACAATAATAATGTCAATATTATTAATCCCTAAACTCTTGAGCCATACATGATAAACCCAGAGTTGGAAAAAAAAATGGCAACTAGTCCAGATTAGTCATTTTTAACTTAACATGGAATTTATGCTGTTTAATGAAAGAAATGTGTTAAATAATTCAAATGTAGCAATTGCTTGTAACCCAACATGGATGTCAACAGATTGTGTCCCAGAACTTTTTAAGGGTAAAAAGGTGCAGGATATTCCTTGCACTTTCTGTTCATTGCCAAAATTGATGCAGACAAATGCATTAGAGCAGAAATTGTGCTGAATTATTGCAGCCAAACCCAACAGATCACCTTTCTCACTTAATTGCTCTTTCTGCTTCTGGTGCTTCAATGTATACATGTGGTGCAGGGACCTTCTACTGTATCCTTTGTGCCAGCTAGGCTGGAATGGTTTGTGGTACCCACCTCTCCTTCTTTGGTTGAGGGAAGGGAGAGGGGCCACTGGAGCAAGGCTGGAGACCAGCTGTACCTCCTTGAACTGAGAGAATGAGCCTTTGACACTCTATTAACCTCATAAAATCAGCAGGATACTTCTCTCTTTCCCGCTCCCCAATGAATATCTCCAGCCCATTCAAGGTCAAAGTTCTACCCACGCATGATGCCAGCAAAGTGAAGGCGAGTGGCCCTGGGCTGAACACCACAGGGGTGCCAGCCAGTCTGCCAGTGGAGTTCACAATTGATGCAAAGGATGCCGGAGAGGGCCTGTTGGCTGTCCAGATCACGGTAAGCATGGCATCTCTTGGAACTCATAGACGAATACAGAGGAGGTCTCGAAGAAAAGACTGGTGTTAGGGAATGGGTTGCAAGAGATGTCTGTTTAGGTAAAGGTTCATCCAGAAGAGCAAGGGAGGACATATTTCAAAATAAAAAGAATATTTAACATAGAGCAGAGGAGTCAAATTCAATTTCCTCTTGGGCCGCCTCAAAGGGCCGGTTGTATCTGTAAATCTATATAAATGTATCTACTCTTTATCATATTAAATGTAATCCTTCTCATTCAATGATTACTGGTTTTAGTAATAACATAAGAAATGACTAGCTCTGAAAGTAAAAGTATGATCAAAGTCTAGAAATGATGGCAAGCAGATAAGAACCGGAGTGGGCAATAGCAAGGGCTACATTCCCCAAGGTGCTGTACGCTGCTGAAGCGGCTGCACTTTCTGACTCTTCGCTGCTTGGAATGCTGGGATTAGAAGTCCCACTAGATGGATTCCCAGCATCCTTGTGGAGCACAGTGGGTGACCGAGTAAGTGCCTGCATATTGTATACTGCACAGCAGCAGGCAACATTGCGAGGACCACATGAAACAACCGGGCGAGCCAAATTGGGACTGTGCAAGCTGGACATGCCCAATCAAACCAGTTTCATGCCCAACCAAACAACTGTGGCTGCTTCAGCATGGTTGTCCTAGCTTTCTAGTGTGATTCTGTCTAAGCACCACGATAGCAGAGCTACCCAGGAGGGTGCACTTATTTTCCTGTACCTGGAAGGCTTTCTTTGCCATTGATAACATCTTGCAGGCATCTCTTCCCCAGTTTCCTGAGTTATCACCCTGCACTTTTTACCAAAATATGTGTTTTCATGCCTGTTTCTGTTCAAAAAGTCTGGCAGACCAGAAAATGAGCTTGCATCTGATGAAAGGATGGTGAACATGGGGCCTTCTAGAGTTATCTGACTGGAACTCTTGTGATTCCACCCTACTGGCTATTCTGCCCAGATGTAATGGGAATTAGAGCACAACAACATCTGGAAGGCCAGATTTTTCCCACTTACCCCCATTCAAAACCAAGGCATTACATGAGTAATAGATTCTTGTATGGTTATTGTAGTACAAGTGAGGTTGGAATTTTTTCTTACTGGTCTTTTGTTTATATATGGTTCAGACTTATGTCATGTTTCCTTTGTTCTGTAAGCTTCTCAAAAAGTGTTCAGCTCAAGGTATATAATTTTCAATGGGATTTATTGGTATGACAAAGGCGTCTGATAGTATCTGTTGTGGGGACGTTACTTTTTTGGACTACCATGCAAGTGCCAATGTTGGTTTGGGGATTTTGGGAAGAGCTCAAAAATATTTTCTTCGGGTTCTAGGTAACAATCTTTGTATAATGATACTATGTGATAATAGTAGTGGTAGCTGTTTCGTTGGTTCTGACTGAAATTCATGTTTTCTTCCTGGGCTGTGCCATGATCATTCAGGATCCTGAGGGCAAACCCAAAAAAGCCACCATCCGAGACAACCAAGACGGCACATACACTGTGTCCTACGTACCTGACATGACCGGCCGCTACACCATCCTCATCAAGTATGGAGGGGACGAGATTCCCTACTCACCGTATCGTATCCGTGCTCTGCCCGCTGGTGATGCCAGCAAGTGTACAGTAACAGGTGAGAGCTCCTTTAGGTGAGGGGGAATCTTGGGGAGGCTGGAGGGGTGGGGCGAGCCACGCTGAAACAACACCACGCCCGCCCCCACACCAACTGCTTTTTGCCGGGCACATCCGGCCACACCGCTTACCCACCGTGGGGAGGGCAATGTCATGTTGCGTGCATTTCTTGTGGTTTTATTTTAATTGTGCACTGTTTTGTGTGATTTCCTTGTCTCACTCTGATTACCCTTGCTCTTTGCCCTTTCACCTCAGTGTCGATTGGAGGTCATGGGCTAGGTAAGCAGCTTGCTAGTGGCTTTCCCACGCCCCGTCCCCAGCATTCCTGCCTGCCTGCTTCCCTTGCATGGTTCCACACCTGCCTTAGACTCCACCTCTACTCAAGAAGACTGGAAAAGTCTTCTGCCCTGCTGGAACTGGTTGATGTGTTTCAATTCAAGGTTGGGTTGCCCCAACTTGTGGGTCTGCAGATGTTTGATTGTAAATCCCAGAATCCCTCACCATTGAATAAACTGGCTGAGGCTTCCTGGAGATGAAGTTCAAAACCATCTGGGGCTCCAAGGTCAGGAAGCACTGTTCTGAAGAGTTCACCTATTAAATTTAGGGCTGTTCCAATACAATAAACATTTGTTTTAGGTTAAATGTGCATATTGCACAAAAGCTAACAAGATTATAGAGTTGTTTTTACTCCTTACTATACCCAATACAGGAGAATAAAATGATCAAAAACAAACAAGCATATTCCAAAATTGTGGTCCCACAATTAAATTATGGGAACCTTTAATAACTGATATATGAGAAATTTTTGGTCTAGGCAAAGGCTCTGGACTTCAGTTGTGATGTCTGAGGAACTGCTGCTGTTCAGTTTTAGCAAAATAATAGATTAATTGATTCCACATTTAAGAGAGTACAGGCTGATAGAATGCACATGTGAAGGCAGTTACCCCAGAAGTCTGTTTAATCCAGATGTGGGAGCTCCATCTATCTTGGCTGGGTGGCTGTTGTGGATCCAGAAGGTTCTGAACTTTGGACCATCAGGATGTTTGGGACCATCGATCCTCAGAATTTTATTTTACCATGCTTATTGGTTTGAGTCTCTGAGAATTGATGTCCAAAGCATCTGGAGGGTCAGAGGTTGAGGAACATTAGTCTGTTGTATCTTGTGGCAGCCCACTCAAGTCTCAAGCCAAGGTTTCCAAAACTCAGGTAGGGAAGAGGATGATGACAATGATGATGATTAACCAAGGAAGAAGCCATTAAGTCTGGGAGCCTAGCATACGAAGTTGAGCTCTGAGTCTTCTTCCTATGTTGGGAGTCTCACTTTCAGTTCAGTTATGACTCCTGCCTATAGACAGGATTGGTTGTTACACTCATGTTCCACTGCAGAGGCAGCCAATCGCTCTACGGAAGGCTCCTCTTGCCTTTCCTCCAACCCTAGCCATTGGTTGTGAATGAATCAAAGCGGTGGATCTAAGTGCTAGGGGTAGGGGGAGTTGCAGCATGGCTCTCCCGCAACCTCCTCCTTCCCACCCTATCCTGAAACAGTCCTTTCCCCTCCCTTAGCCTCCTCTCTCGCTGGACTGGACTTACACAAGGAGAAGGGGGTGCACTTGTACCTGGGGAATGGATCCAGAGTCTGCATGTTTCCCAACCTTTCAGCAGAGGTTGCCTCTAGGGACAAGGAAGTTGCAAGCATTGCAGTGACTTTGGGGGAACACCTACGTCACAGAGAGGCCTCTTGCTTTGGTTTATCCATATCTCAGTCCATTTAATTCAGGAGCTGGCCCACCACCACCACCACCCCCAGAAACACATGAGATTTCATGTTTGAATATGGTGAACCTCTAGAGCACCATATTTGTACCTGTACCAGTTGTGGCCCATATTTGTACCTGGTAGCAGTCCTCTCATTAAGGAAAGCGTCCTTGGGTCCTATTATGTGGAGAAAGACAGGATAAAAATATTTTTAAAAAATACATTATGACCCTATTATGGATCATAATGGAGAACTGCAGGCTGAAGGCTCATGGTTCTTCACTGTGGACCGCCTCTCGGGTGCTGAGGCTTAATCAACTCTCTCTCCACTCCAGTGGACTTGGATATTTCATACAGTTCACCACCCAGTCTGAAACAGCGCCCTTGGCCACTTATCCTACAGGGCTTGTGATTTGACTTGGCAGGACTTTTCACCATGTTAGTCACCAAAAGCATTTCCCCAGCTGGAATAAAAGACTTGACTTATTGTATACTCTTTGTAGCATTGATCAGCTGGAAACTAGGGACACGGGGGCCTGTGGAACTATGTTTTCCCCCCTTTGTGAATGTTTCAGTGTAGCTTCTTGATGTTGCTAAAAAGAGAAACTAAAAAGAGAAGCATACTGATGGCAGCTATTATCTGCTTGGAGCTGTGATTTATATCCTGATGCCAAAATATACTGACATGTAGCTTGTAGATGCCGATAATGTTGTTGTTTTAGACCTCTCAGCATCAACGTTCTTTTTGGTTAACTTCTAGTGAGAGGAGCTAGCCACTTCAAACCAGTCCTACATGGCATTTAAGAGCTTATCTATATGTAGCTTGAGAGCCAGTGTTTCATTTTGTGAGGCCTGGGGTTCTTTTCGGGGTGGGGGGGTTGGAATCCAATGGCCTTTGGCTCTGGTAGATTCCCCAGTTGCCCAAAGCTATAACAACCCTTGCCTTCTGAACAAACTGCTTCTGCTGGGATGAAATCATAGCTTTTGGTTGCTGTAACTCCATCTTGCTTTAGTCTCCTTTAATGTGATGCTGTCTGAATGGGTCCTTGGGGCTTTTGGGCTGCAGTGGGGGGGTCTGATCTCCCTCCCAGCCTCCTGCGCGAGCCCACAGTGTTCTGTCTCTTGCTCCTAAAGGAGATCTAGACGTCCTCCCATTGCCCTTGGATTGTTCTCTATCTTAGATGAGCACCATAGTGAATGGGAGCACAACAGTGGGGTGCAAAAGGAAGAGGAGAATCTCTGGAGGGACATGGTGAGCTCTTGGCCCTTCCTCCTTTGAGAGGGAGTAGATAGCCAGGTCCTTGCCCCATTCTCAACATGGCCCCAGGGTTTATTTAAACGAAGTTGCAGAACAGCCATAATTGTGCAAATTACAGTGGCTATAAACATTTGCCTAGTTATGGATTGGATTTCTGCCTGGTTTTACTCCCCAAAGGCTCCTGGCTAAAAACAAAATGTGGTCAAAACACAGACAAAGCGTACTTCCTGTGTGTAGAAACGTATGAATTCAAAGGTCTGTCGAGAGATCGCGCTAGCCAGTGCCAGTTGCTCTTGAAACTTTTGGCATGTCCTTCCTCCTCAGCAGCTGAGTTGATCGGAAAGAGCTCTTGAAACTTTTGGCATGTCCTTCCTCAGCAGCTGAGTTGATCAGAAAGTTGATTGGAAAGAAAGCACCACCTTTGAAGGAGCTATTTTGAACTGCACGGGCTCATTTACTCCTGCCCTAATCAGTAACAGTAGGCTATTGGGAAACCAAACCTTTGTTTCCACCTTCCCCGGGTGGAAGGCCAGTCTGTCTTGGCTAGCGTAAGAGGCTGAGAGCTGAGGGGGACCTCCTGTGTGTGTGATGATAGGGATGGGGTTGAGGGAGCCGGGCTTGAGTTCTCCGTTCTCCATGGTTGTCCCTTCCGTCAGGAGCCGGCATCGGCCCCACGATACAGATTGGTGAAGAGACGGTGATCACCGTGGATGCCAAAGCTGCCGGGAAGGGCAAGGTGACCTGCACCGTGTGTACGCCTGATGGCACAGAGGTGGATGTTGATGTGGTGGAAAATGAGGATGGCACCTTTGACATCTTCTACACGGCACCCCAGCCGGGCAAATATGTCATCTGTGTACGCTTTGGAGGAGAACACATCCCCAACAGTCCTTTCCAGGTTACGGTGAGTCGCACAGTGGGAAGCAAGAAGGGAATTTCCTAAGATTGGTTCAGTAAGATGTAACATGTTGGGGCTCCGGCTGATGTTTTTACGATGATGGTGAATACAGTGCTGCTATGGAATGGGGAACGGTGGCTCTCCAGCTTGTTCACAGACCACATTTCCTATAATGCCCCATCATCGGCTATGTTGGCTAAGATCTAATAGGAGGGTTACACATTCCCCACCTTTGCGCTAGTGGGAAGATTCCCACAAGATGGAGTCATGGAAAGGGGTGTTCCTCTTTCAGTGGTCAGATTTAGGCCATCCTGAAAATCCTGTCTGTTGGAGGGAAAGCTCTGATATTCAGAAGCTGGCTGGATGAGCACCTGAAACTGTGGCAGGAAAGCTGCAGCATGAATAGGATGTGGGGTATGTTTACTATCTCTTTTCTAGATGTACACCTTATGTTTGAGCTGGCTCAAAAAGTAGTCCACCTTAAAGGGAACGAATAACCCCTGCCTTTTTAATGGAAGCACAAAGAGAAAGAAGGGTGCCAGAAAGGAGGTGAGGAGAGTCTTTTGACTTATCCTCCCCACACACACCATTTAGAGTAAATGGGTTTAAGGAGCAGGACAAACACTGTTTACTGCTTCTTACCATGACATTGTACCTTCCAGATATTATGGACTGCAGCTTCCCTTACTCCCAGAAACCATGAGGATTGGGGATGATGGGAAGACTTAGCTGAGCATACGTAGCTGAGGAAGCCTTGCTTATTAGGTAGAGGTGGACAAAGGCAATCCATTTGTGCCCTTTATTGTTTGTTCTTTTTATCAAGGGGATCAGATGTTACTCACTTTTAAAACATAAGGACATGGTTGGACAAGGAATCATGCACTGCAGGTCTCCATGTGTATTGAGGAGGGAAGGAAAATCTTTGTCCCTCTGCATGCTTGGGCTGATAGTGCTTTTCGTAAAATAAATAAATAACTTTAGTGTCTTATTGTTGAGGCTTCTGGGTGTTGATGTTCCAAACATCAGGAGAGCCAGATCCCCTCCCTAAGTATATAGTTTTACCTGGAACTTGCTAGCCAGGTGGCTCCTCTTTCTGAGCACTGAGCTGACATCTAGCTTGACGAGCCGTCCTCTTGCTTGCTGTTCTGAGCACTGAGCTGACATCTAGCTTGACAAGCCGTCCTCCTCTTGCTTGCTGCGTAAGGCAGGTGCTTTGCCCGTCATCAAAAACCGGTCTGTCTCTCTGTTCAGAGCCATGTGAGCCTTCTCTAAAGTTTGGAATTGGCAAACTGAGTCGCTCTCTGTAGTTGTGCATTTTTTGTGTGCCAAAAATCCAAACGTACGCAGCATGGGCTAAAAACTGATGTTGTTTCAAAAATCAGAACACTGCTTCCATATTTTTTTTTTTAAATTTTGAGTTTTTGTTGTTAAGGAGATTCAAAGAGATATTTAGCTCTGAAACATATTGAACACCTATGGTTGCTTACTGGAAGGTATCTCAAACTTGATCTTTGTCTCTGATTTTATTTCTCAACTATTTGAAGGGCTCAGAGCTTGTTCTTAAACCTGTCAAGGTATTTTAATGTCCTGTGCTTGCCTAGCAGCCCTGTAGGCAGGACTTCTGTTTATTGGTGGAAGTAGTCAGAAGCTTCGTATATAGGTGTGATGTCTTTCAGCTGTGCAGTTGACTTCAGGGTAGCTGCTTTCTTGATATGCTCGTGAGAGGATGCTTCTTAGAAATGATCTGCAGCCTAAAACTTCAGGGTAGCTGCTTTCTTGATATGCTCGTGAGAGGATGCTTCTTAGAAATGATCAGCCTAAAGCGTCTTCCATTTCATTCTTTTTTAATGCACAGAAATGGAACTGAGTGTAAATTTTACAGATTGCAGGAGTTCAAAATCTGAATTAGGTGGTAAATTTTTACAGATTGCAGGAGTTCAAAATCTGAATTGGGTTGTGTGTGTGTGTGTGGTGTATGTATGAACTCTTCAGTGGCATCTAAGTCAAAATACCTTCTGACAGTTAAGGGCGAACTAGCAGCCCACAAAGTTAGACATGGCTTGTCCTTCTAGAACTTGTGACTCATTGCTTGGCTTTCATAAGTTGGGCCTTCCTGTTCAAAACAGATTGCAGGAGTTCAAAATCTGAATTGGGTTGTGTGTGTGTGTGTGGTGTATGTATGAACTCTTCAGTGGCATCTAAGTCAAAATACCTTCTGACAGTTAAGGGCGAACTAGCAGCCCACAAAGTTAGACATGGCTTGTCCTTCTAGAACTTGTGACTCATTGCTTGGCTTTCATAAGTTGGGCCTTCCTGTTCAAATGTTTAGTCACTCTTTCCAGGTTCCAACACAAAAGGAGCCCTCTGGGCTCATCACAGAAACGTTGGGGTGGAAGGAACGTTGAACAGGGCAGCATCCCTTTTCATTTTTATTTCTCTGTATTGTCTTGTTTGTGGAGAAGCCAGAGGAGGTCCCTCAGCCAGGGAAGCTTTGACTCAGTGGAAAACAATAACTTGATTTTTCTTCATGTCCACACCCACCTCCTCACACACCCCCATCAGAGCGAGCTAACTGAAATCTTCCCACTTGAGCACAGATTTCTTGCTGACAGTGCCTGGCATAACAGCCACCCATCTTTAGTTCTGTAAAACCTTTATATTAATTTTCTCACCTTTCCACAGAGTTTCTGTTTTATAATTTACGTCTTTATGGCACTTCCAGTACCGTTTCTCTGCAGGTTGACTCAAACACGAGTTCCCACCTTGCACAGCGTGAACTGCACCCACAAATTTCATTTTAAAAAGTTCAGTGTGTGTGTGTGTGTGTGTACCCCGTGGGACAGAATTTTAGGGTGGACACGCCTTTAATTTAAACCAGCAGAGTCCTTCTGATGATTTTATATTAGTTTGGTCATCCATGCTGAGCCCGAGAAGGTCAGTAATGTCACATTGCTGATCTGGCAGATAAAGCCAAGAGGGTTGTTGTTGTTTGCCTGGCCATCTTTCTGTATCACGGATAAACACCCAACATCTCAAGGCAGTGGTCTAGCTCGGGGGGGGGGCTGGACAGACCAACGGGCACACTCACATCTGTGTCCTTCTATACCTTGCCACACTCCATGGAGCAGTATCTGTTGTCTGATGCTGTCACCTCACTGTGTAATAGGAGCACTGTCCCCAGAGAGGCCTGTCCCTCAGCCTCCAAGCAGTCTTCCAGCTTAACACTAAACCCCGCCCAGGGCTATTTGGCTTTTCGACGTCGTCTCAAGCAACAGAGTAGACGAGTGTGGGAGGGAGGCTCTTCCCACCCTACAATTCTAAATTTGGTCTTAGTGCTCTCAGACACAAGGTGCTGTAGTGACGCACACCTTGCATACCCATTATGTTAATATGGTGCAATGCATCTCCCTCTATCCTGGCTAGGAAATATTCAAGTGGACACTCCTGGCTCCTACCTATTAGAATTAGTACAGTAAGTGCTCAGATCTTTTTTACTTCATTCCTCTGCAATGTAGTCTGAATAGTGCTCTCTCTCCTCCCAGACCCTAATATATTCAGAGCTGCTTCATGCTGGCTTCTTAAAATGGTACAGTTCTGTTTTAATGAATGGGTTAAATCCATTGTGTAACTTATTTCAGGTAGGTAGAACTGTCTTTAGACGTATGTTTATGTTTCTTCCTCTGTCCCTGAAGGCTCAAGCACAGGGGGTAGAAATCATAATCATGGCCAGATACTGGTTGTTTGGTGTGTGTTTTTAAGCACTGTACTATGTCATGGGTATATATGCAAAAGCAAGAACCACATTCTGAGCCTACACGTTCCATTCCATGGCTGCCCCATCGTATTCATAAGTTTGGCACACTGCTGCGTAAAATGCACGTGTTGCAATGAGATCATTATTTTGTGTTGGCAAACAATGCTGCCTTTCTGGTATGTTCTGGCCTTGCAGTGCACTCTCACTGGATGCAAACTTCAGTACTTAGAATCAGAATCTTAAACTTCTAGAGTTTCAGGAATGATATGGAGACTGGGGGACAGAATTATTGTCATACCCAGTAATCTCTTTTGTAGTGTGTCTGGATTATCTCAGGGCTCTTAAAACCACCCTTACCAAGATTGGCCTTCTGAAGATGCTGTCTTGGGTTCCTAGCTCTGATGGTTGCTACAGTCTTTGGAAAACACATGGCAATGCCAGCTTCCAACAAGAGCCTGTTCTGCAGTGGATCCTTCTGCACAACAGAAGGATTACATTTTTGGCACACAAGAGGCACTGTTTGGAGATGTTGTTGTGGGAGGTCTCCCTGGGATACAGCCCCTTTTACCAGGGGCTGGTTCTGTGCCATGATCAACTACTGAATTTGTCTGTCTCTCTTTCCCTTTTTTGCACCCCCCCCCTTTCATTATTTTTTATTCTCCCTCTTTCTCTGTCTATCTCTTTGCAAAGGAATTGGGCTTATCCCGAGAAATTGATGGTTAGTGCTCTTCAACTGTTAGTCATTAAGCTGTTTTTCTACTAAGATCTGAAATTGAAGTGCGGGGCTGGGGAGTACATATGCCCTCCGTATGTTGTTGGATACCAGTTCTTGTCAGATTCAAGCAATTTTGCTGGTGCTGGGCAGTGTGCTGAATGTGTAATAGATCAACATGTGTGGAGGACCGAATGTTCCTCACCCCTGCTTTCGTCATGACGTCCTGACCCTGAGATGGCCTCTCCACTGGTCCTTTCTAACATTCTTGCCCCGTTCCTGCCACAGGCCCTGGATGGTGAGCGCCCGACCCCCCAGCAGATGGCCCCGCCGATGCGTGCCCCAACCTACGCATACCCGCCTGGTGCACAGCAGCCTTGGGGACCAGCAGTAACAGTTCAGTTTTCTTGGAGGAAAAGCTTGCCCAGCACATTCTGCGTGGGGGGAGCTACCCCGTGGAATTCGGTCCCTTGCTTTGCGCTGTCTGCCACTGCTTGCAGGGTATGGGGTGGGGCGCTGAGCTGCTGCTTGAGGCTACAAGGTCAAAGAACCTCAACCCCTTTCCCTGGGGATAACAGGACTGATCAGATTTTGGGATCAGAAATCATACAGAGATACAGTAACTCTGCATCTGGAAACTGGGGAACTGGAAGGGAACCAAGTCTGTTCCAGATGGCTTGGACTACAACTCCCATACTGCCCCTTCATGCTACAGATTATGGAATTTAGAGGCCAAAATAGCTGGAGGATGCCAGAGGGACTAATCTGGAATATAACATAGCTGCGGGAATGAAGGAGGGAAACTAACTACAAACAAACTCATTGGGAACATTCAAGCCAAGATACACCAGCCTCTCTCTTCTCTCTACACCTGATACTTATGGCTCCATGTTGAATGGATAGATTTTCAACCCTTGTCTAAATTGGTCCAGCACTGTTGCATACAAAGGAGCAGAGGCACAGCTTGGAGAACCTGCTGCAGGAGGCTTTCTCTGTGTTATTTCCTTTCTGCAAGAGGAATTGGTACTTTAGTCCAGAGGAATTCTCATAGAAAGAGGGCACCATGTGATAAGAAGCATTTGTCCTTAAGACCAAAAACGTACGATCCTTAGGCCAACCACATAGCTCCTATCTTGGCAAATATGTCTAGTCTTGAATTCAAACTCCTTTAGAGCTGCTGCAGCATTACCAAGTAGCAAGGAGTTCTAGAGAGCTGGAGAAATTTTGTCCTGAACGGCATGGGGTCACCTAGAAGTAGAATTGGGATGACCCCGTGCCTTTCAGGAGTGGCTGCCATTCCTCAGCTCCTGCCTCAGCTTACACAGAGGGCTTTGCGATGGGGGGTGGAAGGGGATCTTCAAGAGACCTCCCCAATGGGAGGGACCCACCGGGGTCTGCAAGAGTCTCCAGCCAAAGCTATAAAAAGCATCTTACCATGAGATGCGCTTTACAAGCTCTTCACTGCTAGTTGTCCCACCCCAATGCACACGCCTGCTTGAATGCTGCTGCAAATGGGTGCTCACCGAAGCAATTTTTGGGGGGGCCCTCTTGCCCCTGTCCTGGCTTTGCTTTTCCTGCACTTGAATTCCAAGGGGGGAAAGAGACCCCCCCAGAATGTGACAGGACTGGGGCTTTTCAGAGTGTCTTTGTCTGAGGTCACATCCCTTCATCTTTTGGTGCTGGGAGGGGGGCCATCTGTGCTTTGTGTGTTGTCTGTGTCAATGCCTCTACTCTGGGGTGGGTGGGGGGTGGCGGCTGTTACCCACTCAAGTCAGCCTGGCCTTCTGTTGCCACCTTTCCAGGATATGAGAGTGCAGCAGGTGGAGCGTAAGGCTCCTCCTCTTCCCCACCCACTAGACCTCGTATTTATCCAAGTACAGTCACCACTAGAGTCTGGCCGAGCTTGATGATGCCCTCGGGTTTTATAGCAAAGGCAGGGAATCTTGGGTCCTTTAAGTACTTTGGACTACAATTCTCACTACCTTTTGCTCTTAGCCATTCTGGCAGGGCCTTTGGAGAGCTGAAGTCCAATGTGTCTGGAAGGCCAAAGTTTCCCCACTCTTGCTTGAGAGGAAACGTGGCTGTTTGGGCTAACTGTGAAGCCTGTTTGCGTACTAAAGGGGTTCCCACGCTGGAGGCTCCAGTCAAACACAGCCGCACTTGCAGTACTCAAGCAGCAGGCAAATGGGACAACATAGCACATTGGGTATAAGGGGAGGTGGGTGCCCTGCAGTTGGTATCCAGCAGTGTAGGGCTATGCTTTGGTTATTCCTTACTGCAGGGAGGAGCTGTCCAACCCCCTAAAGGGCAAGCTAAGCTCTTGGGTTTGACACCCAACAGAAGTAAAGATATTTCTTGGAAATAGGGCGCAAAGTCCCCAGGCAGCAGCTTTGGATACTGCAAGGAGGATTACCCTGCTGGCATTGTTTCCTGAAGCAGCCAATACTTGGGCTCTTGTTTGGACCAAACAAATATGTTCAATGAAAAAGGGAATTAATGGACCATCTGCCCTAATAGCTTCTGAGGTTGGGTGCAAAATGGAAGTACTAAACCCTACCAACTGGGAAAAGTATGGGGGGCGGGTTTGGAATCCCCCTGTTACCCCTTTCCATTGAAATGCTGATATAGAAACTCTTGATTTATAGAACAGTCACTGAGCTGTGCAGCAGAACCTCCTGGTTTTTTCTAAGTTCAAGATTCTAGTTTCAGAATTCTTGCAAACCTTCTTATGGTCGGCATCAGATCTTGTGAACCTGGAATTCAGGTACTGAAAAAAGTGTATGGTGGGAAAAAGTGGGAAAAGAAATGTTGCTGTGAACCTGGAATTCAGGTACTGAAAAAATGTATAGGGAGGGGGAGTGGGAAAAGAAATGTTGTCCCATTTATTCCATAGTTCAGGTGGCCTGCTAGCCTACGTCCAACCTGCGCATTCAAAGTTAGGGACAGTAGGGGGAGGAACGACCAGGGGCTTAGCCTTTGGGGATGTGTCTTTGTCAGCTCTGTGTTCCATCGCTGTTTTTACGGACTCTTGCCATTTCTTTCCACTCCTCCATGTGCTAACTGGCACTGAAAAGAAAAATGATTCTCACTCCTCTGTTGGTTTGGTGGGGGTGCCCTCTGTCTTCCAGGCAACAGACCGTCCTGTCAATGGATTGGATGCTGGACTCCGGCCTTTCGACTTGGTTATCCCGTTTACCATCAAGAAAGGAGAGATCACAGGTAAGGGGGTGTGGTGTATCGATGGGGCAAGTGGGACACTCCTTCAATGATAAAAGGCTTTTAGGATAGGTTGAAACCTAGAACAAGAAGGCAGATGTCCAAGGAAGCAAGTGCAGCAATATCTCAGGAGCATACGGGCTGAAAATGGGCAGAAATCAGCTTCTGGATCTCTGCTTTCATTTTATTTTTAAGAACACCCCAAAGCCTTTACAGCTATAAAGATAGCATTGCTGAGAAGTGTGTGAAAGCAACATTGCTGAAATTAAGAGATCTGGCAGAATTAAGATTTGCAGTGCAAGCAGGTGTTGGTGTTCTGCTTAGTTTTGTACGTATTCCTGTAACTACCAGAAATAGAATAAAAATTAATATAGAGTAGAGGAAGGGTTGCTGAATTCTGCTTTTTTAAAAAAGCAAAATGAGGATTTCTTGGGTGTGCACTGACTTGCTTTGACGAGAGGTACAGAACAGTCATCTGCATAACGACAGATGCAGCAAATTGCTCCTTGTGCTGTTTAGAAATGCAGGGGATGAATTTAATTCAATGTTTTAATCACCACTCTTCAAACTAGACTGGGATTTCTGTATCTTCTAAGCAAATGGGAAATGTATCCAGTTTCCAGCTGCTGGTGAAGCTCTAGGTGGAAGGACGCAAGCCCCCACCCCCATTCCAGACATTTGAGAAGGGAGAGGGGTCTGCATAGCCCTCCAGATCTTGTTGGATGTGTAGCTCGCATTAGGGCTAGCCATCATGGCCAAAAGCAAGGGGATGATGGAAGCTGCTGTCCTGTTCAATCTGGAGAGCTGCCCATTGCCCTCTTCTTAAAGTTGGAGCTCCAGATTTCTACCCCTGCCACAGACTTAAGCATGTCCATGCTTGCCGCAGCCCTAAGGAATTCCAGCCTCACGTGAACAAATGCCCTAGCTCAAATCCTGCCTCCGATTCCCTTCTAAATATGTGATATTGGCTCCTTGCTTTCCTCCTCTGACCACGGAGCCCTACTGGGTGTGAATATTGTCTGTCTTGCAATCCCTTTGAAGGTGAAGTGCGCATGCCTTCTGGCAAGGTGGCCAAGCCTGACATCACCGACAACAAGGATGGCACAGTGACCGTACGCTATGCTCCCACCGAGGCTGGCTTGCATGAGATGGACATCCGCTATGACAACATGCACATTCCAGGTAACGCTTGCTTGGAGAGGATGTCTGTGGAATCCTTCGCCTTACTCTCTCGGGTTAGATGTGAACATGCACAGACTGGAAATATTATTTTTCTTTTTCAGGATCTTTCACAGGCCCAAATCCTGTTCCCGTAACTTTGTGTGGTAGAGGCTAATGACGTCAGCGGCTCACGTTGCTAAAAAATGATATGAAAGTAATTAATTCCAACAAAGAAGGAATTTATTGAAAAGATTTTGGAACTTGCAGAAAAGGATATTTTGGCAGAAACACCATAATTATAAACTGGATAATATTAAATGGGAACCTCTTTTCACCTAGATTAAATCTACACCGATTTAAGAAGAATAGATTAGATTAATATTATGTTAGAGAGTACAAGACAAGATTAAATGAATTGAATACATTGTAATAAATCACTCTGGTTACAATGGGTAGAAAAGTAGAAAAAATACAATTTTAAAAATAAAATTAATTAAATCATTCCTGTCCCCTTGTTTTAGGTTCCAAGGCTCCCTTTTGCTCTGGGGAAGCCTTCGGGGGTGGGGAGCCTTTAATTACGAAAAATTGTCACTGGATTGTCAGTAGTGGTCCCAATCCTGATGGTGGCAATATGGAGGTCTTCTTCATCATCTTTCTTTCTTTCTTTCTTTCTTTCTTTCTTTCTTTCTTTCTTTCTTTCTTTCCTTTACTTATTTATTTATTTATTTATTTATATATTTATTTATTTATTTATTTGGCTATTAAAGACTCCCCAAATCCTAAGGCTCCAAAAGATCCTCCCCACCAAAAAAACCAGGGAGCCCTTGGCAGCCTCAGTAACTAAAAAAAGGGGATTGTTGTTGTTTAGTTGTTAAGTCATGTCCGACTCTTTGTGACCCCACGGACCAGAGCACGCCAGGCATTTAATTAATTTAAAATAACTGTTAGTAGCATGTTGTAGCATGATGACATCATTAGCTGCCACTGCACAAAGTTCCATAAAAAGGATTTGGGTAACACAATCCATTAGTCAGTGTGGACTTTTGCAATACAAAGGGGGTGGGGGTGGGGGTGAAGAAAGAAAGAACTTTCCAAGATTTGGCCTAAGTAACACCCTCTTGCCTTCTTCCTCAACAGGCAGCCCTCTCCAGTTCTATGTGGATTATGTCAACAGTGGTCATGTGACCGCATATGGGCCAGGACTCATCCATGGGGTGGTCAACAAGCCAGCGGTCTTCACGGTCAACACCAAAGATGCAGGAGAAGGTGAGCCGAATCAGGCTTTTCAGTCCTGGGGTTACTTCTCACCCTCTGTCGTCTTGCCCTGTTTAAGCTCATGTGCTTTTGCAGCCTATTTTCCTTGTTTAAAATGGTCTTTTTGATCTCTTGTGAGTTAGGCAGGTCCTCATCTCCATAATGTGCAAGGGTAGAAGTTGGATGGCTGTTTTTTCCAGCCAGTGGTGGAGAAAAGCTTGTCCTTAATTATGGGCTTAATATTCCGAGGCCCATGTCTAGCATTATATTTCATTTATAGTATTTGTATCCTGCTTTTTAGCTGAAAAGGCTTTCAGTCCAGCAAAGGTTCAAATTGGACGCCGGTAAAGGACAAGACATTGTGTTGGGCTTCCGCTCTCAAAAGAAACAACCAAAAGGGAATAAGTGGGGAAACTCAGGCCGAAGTGCTTCATGTTATGAAAATGCTTAGCCTGGTGGAACGATTGCTAGAGTAGGGTTTCCAATGATAAGGGGCTTCAGTGCTCTAGCAAACCCCAGCTGTGTTCTAACTCACAGAGTAAAACAATGCAGACTGTACAGACACAAACCGAAGTGTGGGTGAAGATGGATACTTTGAATACATAGTGTTGGCATAGTGTTGGGTTGTGTTGTTGTTGTTTGGTTTGGTTTTTTAGGGTTTGGGAGGTTAGTGAGATGAATAGATCCTGTTGCCTTCTGAGTCTGACCTTCTCAACTCTTGCAGGTGGCCTTTCCCTGGCCATCGAAGGGCCCTCCAAGGCCGAAATTGGCTGCACGGATAACCAGGACGGCACATGCACTGTGTCCTACCTTCCAGTTCTGCCGGGTGACTACAACATCCTAGTGAAATACAATGACAAACACATCCCAGGAAGCCCGTTCACTGCCAAGATTACTGGTGAGTTCTGGGATCATGCTTAAGGAGGCTAGAAGCGGGCGAGTGGCCATTCGTCTGGCTCCCGCACAGCCACGATCCCTGTTCTTTTGTCTCTGCTCCTGTAGGTGACGACACGATGCGCATGTCTCACCTCAAAGTGGGCTCTTCTGCTGATATCCCCTTGAACATCACTGAGACAGACCTGAGCCAGCTGACTGCCACCGTCATCCCACCTTCGGGTCGGGAGGAGCCTTGTCTGCTCAAACGCTTGCGCAACGGGCATGTGGGTGAGTGGCTGAGGACTCTCTGCCTTCCAGCATCTCCTCACTCCAAGCTTCGCCCACCTGCCCACCATCTGTGGGTTGGAGAAAACAGCTTAGACTAAATTACGTCTCTCCTTCTTCCCCATGTATTTTTATAGGAATTTCCTTCGTTCCCAAAGAAATTGGAGAGCATATTGTGAACATCAAGAAGAATGGGCTGCACATCCCCAACAGTCCTATCACAGTGATGATAAGCCAGTCGGAAATTGGCGATGCGAGCCGCGTCAGGGTCTCTGGCCCAGGACTCAGTGAGGGCCGGACCTTTGAACCTTCAGAGTTCATCATTGACACAAGAGATGCTGGTATATGCACATACTAAATATATTTCATTATCATTGTTTTGTTTTGAGATGTGACTCTGAAGATGCTTTATGCTGCTAATATGGCTTTTTTTAAAAAAGGGTGGCATTAGAGCCTAAGGTTACTGTTTTACATTGAGTTGAGTGCTTCAGGTATAATCTTTCAGGGACACACAGCAGATCAGACATGCAGCATGTAGTCCAATTTAGCTGACCGAGCAACAACTAAGAATCTTATCCTATTCTCCCCTTCTCACTGTTTTAAATGGGGATGATTGTTTACCAGTCAGTAAACTCTACCTTCTGGTACCAGTGTGCCAGGAAAGCACCCAGAGACAAAACTGACATGTTAGTAGTCAGAGAATTTGAAGTTTCAGTTCTATGCCAAACACAGTGCCGTGTCTGGATAGCTGTCCTTTTGAAGCATGTCTCATGTGACTTTACAGAACTAACCATGTCTGGGCAAGCCAGGATTGGCAACCACCTGGGTGTTGAGGGGTCAAGTCATGTTGACTAGCAGACCCACCAAATACGTGGTTTCTGAGCTGAGTGCTTCTCTGAGAATGACAAGGGAGGTGGCTTCATATCTTTCACCAATCACAGTATCTGTGGCACTGTTTAAGCTTTGGAGGGATTGAGGAACTCTGAATTCTGGTGATCTGGGTTTTTAGCAAAATAGCTCTGCTTGGTGGGAGCAGAAACTTATTGGATCATACTGTGTGGTTTCTAGCAGCCAACAACCTGATTCTGGAAACTGTGGTGAGTGCAAGTTGGAAGTGAAGACAGTATCACCAGAAGCAATGGTCCTGAACTCTTGCTTCCTCCTAGTGCATTGGATTTCACTTTTCTCAGCCAGTATGGCCAGCATTCAGGGATTCTAAGGACTGAAACCCAACAACATTCGGAGGTCTAAAGGGTTGAGAACCACTGGCCTTAAGAAAGGGAGTGGTTTTGGTGATCACTGGATCCCAATGCTGATATCCTGTGCACATAAGCTAGGAATGGGTGAACTTGCCATTTCACTTTCTCTTCGATTTGAATCATTTAAGCTTTTTAATCTCAAGTTTTTCTCCTCAAATTTATGAAGACATTGTTGTTGTTGCTCTATCACATATATGAAGCAACTTGTGACTTTAGGAAATGAAGGCTCATCGGTCCCTGGTATATGCACCCCTGCATATGCCTGTAATGATGTTCGCACATCAAGCTGAACCCTCCAGGGTCAAACTGCCTTCCCCTCTTGTAGGTTACGGTGGGCTGAGCTTGTCCATTGAAGGCCCCAGTAAAGTTGACATCAACACAGAAGACCTGGAGGATGGGACTTGCAAAGTCACCTATTGTCCAACGGAGCCAGGCAACTACATCATCAACATCAAATTTGCAGACCAGCATGTGCCAGGTGAGCACAGTCCCCTCTGTTGTCAGGGGCAACCGTTGGTAGGGAAGCAAAAAGTGGGTTGAGAAGGGGCAGGTCCATTGGGAGTACTTGCTGCACAGCTTGCACAGCAGAGACTTCACCTAAACTCACTTTAGATCATCTCTGCCATACAGTCCATCTCAGGACCTAAAGTATTAAAAATGGGCTTCCAGATACATTTTGGGAGAGTTGAGCTTAGAGAACCAAACTTCTTCATGCCAGTCTTTCTAGGACCCTGGAAATACTGTACTGGGAACCAAGAGACCCTGCTGAACTGGACATGCATTTATGATGAGGCCCTGGAAATACTGTACTGGGAACCAAGAGGCCCTGCTGAGAAAAGCTGGCCCTCGGATAATATAGGCTCTTTCTCTATGCGGTGTTCCTCTCACGGAAATCAGCTTTAAATGGATTTCAGGGATTTGGCTTCTCTCTTCGTTGTAGCCTGTAACACTCACCATGGTTTTCCAACCCTAGATTTTAAGGGAGTGGGGAGCAGAAATGTCTGCCCTGCCAGCTCTGTCACGTCTGTCTAAATATCAACCCAACCCAGGATCATCAGGGGTTTTTTTTGGGGGGGGGGGAATGGGTGTAAAGACTGTGGCATGTTGCTCATCGGGTCTGTGGGATCAGCAAAATAGCTGCGCTACATTTCAAGCAGGAGATGATTTGGATGCTCCGTATGTCGGCTTTTATGGAGCTCATCTATAAATCCTCCACCTCGGTTTGCAGTGAGAGTCTAATCCATATGTGACAAGCTGATCATTGCAATTAATGAGATTTAACACTGGAATAGAGAGGCTTACAGTAGACCAGGGTGGAGGTGGTGAGAGTGATGTGTGAAGTTCAGAGCTTGATGCCAGGAGCGAAACGGGACCATGGATTTCTTGCCTTTATCTCAGACATCTTTCTATCCCTACCCAATTTGATGATCTTTCTCTCACAGGAGCAGGAAACGTCTGGCTTCTGGTCCAGACGTGGCTATGCGTTTGATGCCCTGCCCTATTGAGAAGGGGGTGTGGGGACAGAAGAGCTGCCCGCTTGGTCAAAGCTCATTTGGGCCCAATCCTGTCTCTCCTTGACTGGGGAAAGAAAGGGGGAAGCACAATGTCTTCCAACGTGGCTCTAGACCTGAGAGTGCCCTGTGAGGCTGTAGCTGGGCTTGCTTCCCTAGTGGGAGATACTGCAGGAAGGGTAAAACTGGCCTCTTGCTTGAATAGTACTTGGAGGAAAAGCTCTTCCAAAAACAGACCAAGTTGCTTCAACAACCACTTGCTATCTCAGTAATGGACAAAGCCAAAAGGAAATTTGCCCAGTGGCTCAGTGACTTTTGGGAAGGGGGTTCTGGGCATAGGGGCCACCCCTTTGCATATACTGGCCTTCTGCTTCAGTGTCAGTAAGAGAGAGGGCCAGCCCTGGCCCTCCTAGAGGCTTTTCCTCTTAATTCATTAGCTTCTCTCTTTCCCTGACCTTGAAGGACAAGATGAAGCTGTTAGCTCAGCCTGCAGAAGTCTTGTCCAGTTTTAGAAAGCGTCCATCAACTGGCTGATTCTTTTCTTCTCTCTCTCAACCCCTCTGGTGCAGGGAGCCCATTCTCTGTTAAGGTGACCGGAGAGGGGCGAATGAAGCAGATGATCACAAGACGTCGTAAAGCCCCTTCAGTTGCTAACATTGGCACAGAGTGCGACCTCAGCTTGAAAATCCCAGGTGAGTGGCTCGAGGGGGACCATGGTTTTGAAAGCAGCAGCCTAAAAGGCATCCAGCCCAGCTGTCCCTGGTGCGGGGCAGATGCTGAACAAGCTCAAGAACCTGCTTCTAGACCTCCCTTCCCAAATGGTGAAAGGAGCCCAAGGCAAAGCAAAGTGAACTCAAATGCCCAGACAATGCACAGAGCACATGGGGAACCTGGTGTGGAAGGAGGTTCTTAATCTTGTCTCTTTTTTCTTTCAAGCGAGCTCCTGGTTTTGGTGGAGGAGGCAGCTTAGAAAAATACATGTGGCCAGGGCTTTGCAAAAGTTTAGGAGCCAGAAGATTGGGCATAATGTTAGCATATTCACACTTGAATGTTCTTTTTTCAGAAATCTAAGTCATATCAGCAGGTAGTTTTGGCACTCTGTTCTGACTCCAGTAAGGATGAACATTGTGAAAGTGAATGCATTCAAATCTACATGCCATTTTCCAGGCACTGATTGATAAGTAGGATTTAAAACCTTTTGTGGCCATGGTTAAGAGGGCAGGATAAGAATAGTTATTTGGGAGTCATTTGAAACCTTAATTAATCTATTGTAAAACCTTAATTTAAACCATTGTAGAGCATTTCCCTGAGATTGAAAATGGTCTTCTTAGAAAACCGCCACCCGCCATATCAGTTATCCTGCATCATTTATTATGCCAGGTATAGGAAGGTACAGTGACTATTTCGAACACATTTCTATATTTGCTAAGTTCAAACACATACAGCTCTATCTCAAAGATTATGATGGAGAGGAACCTCCCCAGTTAGATGGCAGTTCCCAGCAATCCTTACCATTTGCTGTGCTACCCAGGGCAGCTGGGAGTTGTAGTCCAACAACATAGTATGGAGAACTCCATGTTCCCTACCTAGTCTGTAGTGGAATATTAGATATAGAAAAAATACAGTGGTGCCTCACATTACGTTAATTCGTTCCAGTGAAATCGCTATAGAACGAAAACGTTGTAAAGCGATTTTAAAAAGCCCATAGAAATGCATTAAAACCCAGTTAATGCGTTCCTGTGGGGTGGAAACTCACCGTCCAGTGAAGATCCTCCATAGTGCGGCCATTTTCGCTGCCTGTGCAGCGAGGAATGCGTCCCAGAAAACACCGGGCGGCCATTTTGTTTACCGGGCGGCCATTTTGAAACCACCGCTCAGCTGTTAAAAAAATCATAGCTTTGAGAGAATCAGTTCCCGAAGCAGGGAACTGATCATCGCAAAGCGAAATTCCCCCATAGGGAACATTATTTTGCGATCGCAAAAACATCACCGTAAGCGGTTCATCGTTAAACGGAGTGCCCGTCTTGCGGGGCACCACTGTAGTTAGGACGTTGTTATTCAGAGCAGGAGAAATGTGGAATATACGCTTCTTAAAATGGTGTGACAGATCAGTGGGAAAGGGTAACTTGGTTAACTCCATTAACATGAAATTAACTCCTTGGTATTCTGTGTTACGTTGTTGCTTTGTGTGTCCTAGAAATCAACATCAGAGACATGACAGCTCAGGTCACCAGCCCCTCCGGCAAGTCCCACGATGCAGAGATCTTGGAGGCGGAGAACAACACCTATTGCATCCGCTTTGTGCCCACTGAGACAGGCATCCACTCCGTCAGCGTCAAATACAAAGGGCAGCATGTCCCCGGAAGTCCGTTCCAGTTCACCGTGGGGCCTCTTGGCGAGGGTGGTGCGCACAAGGTCCGGGCAGGTGGTCCAGGCTTGGAAAGAGCAGAAGCTGGCGTGCCAGGTAGGTCTGTCTCCTGGAGGGAGGAAGAAGCATATTGCCAGAAAGAATTGCTGAGGGGCTGCAGTAGGGAGACGGAGTGGGGGAAACAGAGTGCTAATATGTGACTGTTTATGCTTGTGCTTGAAATATGTAAGGTACTTGGTCTCACTTACTTAGTTACTGATATATCTTTGGATTCAGTGAGCTGAAAGCACTATACAAAGTAATCCCCACCCGTCCCTCAATACTTTCCACAACAACCCTATGAGGTTGGTCAGGGTGGAAAGGGTATCTTTGGATTCAGTGAGCTGAAAGCACTGTACAAAGTAATCCCCACCTGCCCCTCAATACTCTCCACAACAACCCTGTGAGGTTGGTCAGGGTGGAAAGGGGTAACTGACTTGGGATCTGAATTGACCAGCAGGTTTTGGATGGTTTGCAGAAGATCTGCATGGATTTCCTGACTCCCAGTTGTGCCATAAAAGCAGCAACTAAGAAGCTTTTTTTCTCCACTTTGCAGAAGATCTGCATGGATTTCCTGACATAAAAGCAGCAACTAAGAAGCTTTTCTTCTCCAGTTAAACTTGGTTGTTGGGGAGATGGAGCCAGGAGTAGTGTTTTGTATAGTAGTTCCGGGGCTGAGCTTGTGTCCAGTGCCACCTTGGTTCCTTAATTCTTGGCACAAATCTGTCTGTTCCCCACCACTGTTTTGCAGCTGGGCTCTGAATGGTGGACCTTGGGAACCTGTACAGTGGTAAACGGAGTTACGAGCACTCCGTTTTATGACAAAATCACTTTACGTTGAAGGTTTTGCGATCGCAAAAGCAATCGCAAAATGATGTTTCCTGTGGGAGAATTTCGCTTTGCAATGATCGGTTCCCTGCTTCAGGAACCGATTCTCGCAAAGCGATGATTTTTGGCCAGCTGATCGGCGGTTTGTTTGATGGAGCCTAATGTTAAGAGACCTGCTCCTTAGCAAAAGAAGTATCTCTAACGGGACCGTTTGCCTTGTCCTGCAGCTGAGTTTAGTATCTGGACACGGGAAGCTGGAGCTGGTGGCCTCTCCATTGCCGTGGAAGGCCCCAGTAAGGCAGAGATTGCTTTTGAGGACCGGAAGGATGGCTCATGTGGCGTTTCCTACATTGTACAAGAACCTGGTAAGTGGTCATAGATCGGGGGGCAGGGGGGAAAAAGCTGCATATCGTGTCTAATGGCTGTAATAGTTGGCATGCATAAAGAGGAAGGGAAGCTGCTAGCAGGTGCCTTTGGGGAGGAGAAGGGGCAAGGGCAACAAATGCTTCAGGGGAGATCAGGGGTCTGGCCAGAGGGATTAAAACTCGCTCCTTCATATCCAGTGTGAGGTAACTCAGCGCTCCTGTTTTCAGAGAGATGGGGAATTGGGGGTTTGCTTTGGAACAAGCATGGAGCATCTGCAGTGTGCTACATGTTGCTGGACCAAAGTTATCCTCATCACAGATGACTATGCTGGAGATCCACACAAGATCCAGATGGAATCCAACAAAATCTAGAAGGCCTCTTCAGATAAATGGGTAGCTGATGACCCAGAAGGCTTCCTAAAGTTTTAGACTACAATTTTCACAATCCCTAACTATTAGCCATGCTGGCTGGGGTTTACGGACATTATTATCCAAGACCTCTAGAACATGGATGGGCAAAGTACAGCCTGTGAATTACATGTTGCCACGAAGGCCATTTTTTCAGGGCCACCCCATGACTCCAAAAATATAACATTTTCAGTGTTTCCCACATCTTATGATCTCTGCAGGACATCAGTCTCTGATGTGCCCAGACTTAGGAGTGGAACAGTGTTAGGCAGATTGTAGATGGGTGTAGTAACCTTTAAAACTGGAGCATATTCCAAGCAGGGCGGGTTCTGGAGAAGCTCCAGTGTCAGATTACAGAGCTTGTTGTAGTTCCGTCTCTTGGAAATGGGTCTGGCAAGCTCCATGGCAGCCAGCTTCTGGAACCCAACAGGGCTGCCTACTGCCAACTACCTGGAATGGGTCCAGAGCTGTAAAGAGCTTTCTTGTTTGCTCAGGAGGCTGCTAGTTCATTTCAAAGAGCCATCTGGAAACGCAGGCTAGGTGATTTGTCATCTGTCCATTTATCTCCCAAGAGTGGGGAACTAAAGACAACAGACCCCAAACCATCTAAAGCCAATGCAGGGCTTGTTGGTGGAAGTACCTAAGTATTATTATTATTCACTAGAACTTTGAATATTTGAAGCGTCAGGGACTGAAATACAACAATATTCAAATATAGATATCTATACACATACGCCTTTAAAACGTTTGGGAACATCTCTGCTTCGGTTATTTTGGCCGTTGTCATGTCAACATGCAAAATCAGATAAAAGCAAACTCTGTTGCATGCTGTATGTTCAGTATTGTCAAACAGTAACTGTGTGAGATTTGTTCTGTATGGCGACTCCTCTGCCTAAAAGACTGAGAACTTCTGGGAGGTGATCCCAATTTAGAGCTGCCAAACATTCAGAAAAAAAATATTCCTTCTACAGGATCTGTAACCTTTTGTTTTTACTAAAATATTTCTAATGTTCTTTTGATATTTTTTTTATTGAGTCATTGCTGTTCAGAATTGGCACCGATTCACATTGTAGAATAAACATCCCTGCTGCAAAAAGTTGGATTTGATGCACTGGCTTGAATTTATTGATTCACCATGTAACTATCAGTGTGAATATCTCAGGATCTATCTGGCTAAGGACCTAATTAGATGATGCCCTTTTCAGTGATGCATGCCCACACCAATGACTCACTGTCTGATTGTTGTTTCCTGTGTCTCTCTTTACCGGCAGGCGATTACGAGGTCTCTGTGAAGTTCAATGATGAGCACATCCCAGATAGCCCCTTCGTGGTACCAGCCACCTCCACCTCAGATGATGCCCGCCGGCTCACTGTTTCTAGTCTTCAGGTGAGGCACTGGGAGAAACCGCCCACTTGTACCCCCTGCTGGCTGGAATGAGTTGGCACTGTTGCTCTCCTGGGTTTGGCTGTTCTTTTGACCAGAGAGGTTGAAAACAGGGTTTTGTGCAGTGATGTATAGCTGGGTCGCTTGGAGACTGGGCATCTTCGTCAGGTAGAGGGAGAGGAAGGGGAAGAAACTTCAAACATGGGAGAGTGTCCTATGCCAACCTCAGAATAGTCACTGTGCCAACTCTGCTGGCCATCCAGGGATCTACTCTGGGGTTTTTCTCGTGTCTCGTTTAAAGGCTGCTAACAGTCCCCACACCTCAAGCCAGGGTTTAAAGATGGAGAGCTTCCCTGGGCATGCCTCTGCCAGCCTTGCTGCCAGCCTCAAAAACTGTCCAGCCTCCCTCTTTCCAGGGTGCGAGTCCAAACCTCTTCCCTGTTTAGCTTGCCTGCCTGCCTCTTGCGCTACTGCCCAACCTCCTGGGGGAGCTCTCCCTCTCTAAGCCACCTGGCTCAGGTAAGTGAGCTTCTGTCTTTTGCTTGGGGGGTGGGGGGGGAAGAGGGGTTCATATGCTTGCTCATCAACATGTGATGCCATTGCCCGCTTGGTCCTTTCTGCTGTCTAACGTGCTCTGTGCTTCTAGGAGTCAGGTTTAAAAGTGAACCAGCCAGCCTCGTTTGCCGTCAGCTTGAACGGGGCCAAGGGTGTGATTGATGCCAAAGTGCACAGCCCCTCAGGGGCCTTGGAAGAATGCCATGTTACAGAAATTGATGAAGGTAAGACGCTCTTCGCCTGGCACAACCAAGGCCACACTGTTCACCCCACACAGCCTAGGGGGAGCCAGAATCCTCCACCAACACTCCCCACGAAGCCTTAACCCGATCTGGGTTTGTTTTGGTTTTTTTAATTATTGTTTTGCTGCTTGGTTGCCTGAAAAGTGAAGTGTGTGGCTTGCGGCACTTGCTGTTTCAGTTTCATTCCCCAGAATGCCTAAAATGAGGGC